GAGGAAATTTATTCAATTTGTGATAACGTCCTGTTATATAGCGACAGGGTCGTAATTCCTACGACATTACAGAAAAGAATGCTCAAGGAATTCCATGTAGGACATCCAGGCATATCAAGAATGAAAAGCCTTATGCGCTCTTTCGTTTTCTGGCCAAACATGGATAAGGATATAGAAGAAAAAGTCAGGGAGTATAGAGGATGCGCATTAGCTATGAAAGCTCCTCCGACTCAATTCGGTTCGTGGGCAAAACCGGACCGACCTTGGTCGAGAATTCACTTGGATTTTGCTGGACCGTTAGATGGTTTCTACTATCTCATTGTTATAGACAGTCTATTTAAGTGGCCGGAAGTATTGAAATGCAAGAACCCCACATCCGAGACAGCTATTAACTTCCTGTATGAACTATTCGATAGGTTTGGAGTTGTAGACTGCATTGTCACAGACAATGGAACGCAATTCACGTATACCGAATTTAAACATCTCTGCGAGGATTATCTAATCGAGCATATAACCATTCCACCATACCATCCAAGAAGCAATGGGCAAGCGGAGAGATTCGTGGATACGTTCAAGAGAGCCCCGAGAAAGGCTAGTGGATCACCGATGGATAAGTCAATCCAACAGTTCTTACAAGTTTACAGGGTCACTCCGAATGCAAACATCGAAACGTCGAAGACACATGCTGAGGTCATGTTCGGACGCAAGGTTAGATCAATTTTCCACAAGTTGTTATCAAACCAGGATAGGCCAAACCTCAAAAAACCAATAACAAAAAAAAACGGTATAAAGTTGGCGAAAGAGTTTTCTACAAGATGCATAGAAATAATAGGACCTTTTGGGAGTCCGGCACTATTGAGAAACAAATAGGCAACATGGTCTATATGATTAAGGGACCAGATTTCGTGCACAGACGTCACACTAACCAAATCCGGAAAAGATACTCGAACAGTGAGGTGACCAGATCGCCCGAGGAGGACATCATGGACACAGTGTTTGATACTTTTCAGGTGCCCATACCAGAGACAGCTCCTGAGAATAGGAGGTCAGAAAGAACAGAAATCAACGGAGTTGATTAGGAGGTCAAAATAAAAACGTTAAATTCCCAGACGGGATATTTTCAAAGGTGGTGACCGGCCTCTAACACAAAAACAAAAATAGTGCCAGTAATACCTAATTAAGCGACAGTACTACAACTGCCTAGCCTAGTAGTACCCGTTTCCTACCTTTGTATCTGTGATGTTAAATACACTTGTTCTTAAAACCAACTTCGACTTGATTTTCTTATTTTTACTATTGTGCCACGACACAACAGATATCACATATAACTCGAAGAGAAAATGGTGATATAATCCTGATGGTGATGTTTCACGATACTTCAAGTAAAAAATTAAAGAAACCGCCATCAATGCTGGAAAAAGCGATAAGACCTACTGGACTTGAGAAACCTGTTTTCCTGAAAAGTTGGTTTAAGACAAAGATTTTGTAAATTTCAACCGACAGTCTGCTAGGACAATGAATGCTAAATGTTTCCTTATAAGGAGACGGCTAATACTACAATTACCATCTGGAAATAAAGATCTACAAAAAGACCTGCTCTGTCAGCTTGTTAGGAGGTTTTCAGAAAACTGTCTTTTTGCCTTCAATCTGTCCTGGTTTTTTTAAAATTCTCTTTTTCAGTATGTGCCAACAATTTTCAAGTGTCTCTTTCTGATGTTAGGTATCCTTTTTGTTTTAATTTTCGCTAAAACTTCGTCGTTGCTCACATGTTCAGTTCATACTATTCCCGAGATCTTTCTGTAGAATCATATTCCTGTTGAATTTTCAATGTCTCTTTTTTTTATATCCTTTTGTGAGCTAAAATTCACTGCTATTCAGGACTGAGATCTTATAAAACAGTTCAGTATGTCTTTTTTTTTGAGAAAATTCACTGCTAAAATTTCTGACATGTTTCTTAACCCTTTGCTTTATAGAATTTCACTGTTTCTAAATAGTTCACCTAAATAGTTGTATAAAATATATACAATATTACTTTAAAACTCTTTTATTATTATTTCTTCTTCCATCTTTTTTTCATTCTATTTTATTTTCTTCGTTTTTATATTTGTAGTTTTCTTCTGATCCTATCTCTGTTTCCTCTTTCATTTCTTTCCTATTTCTTTTTACTCCTTCTCTTGTCGCCTGTTCTTCCTCTGTCTTCTCTGTTTCTCACTTTTTCTCCTTCTCTTTCAGTTTCCTCATTCTATTTCCTTCTTTGTTTTATATTATGAGATAACTTGGACCGATTTTAAATGTGAATTAAGTTTAAGCGTCTAATGATTTTTTCTTTTTCTTTCAGATTTGGCGGACATTTGGGCTATATTATTTTTTAGACATAATTGCTATAACTTAAATAACATGATCCAATAGAGAAATACATAAATTTTCAACAATAACACTGATTCATTTACTGCTGACATTGATCCGTCTTAATGAAACACTCTTTATTGAGTTCTTTTTGCATAATTACACATTTTCTCATATTGTTTATCAACAAATTTCCCCATTCATACCCATTGTTTCCCATGATTACAAATGGCATTTTTAATTGATTAATGGGAAAATATTCTTAATGTTAAATTTTAGAAGAGTCTGCCTTTTCCTGCATGTCTCTCTGAATTTCTGGGATGAGGTGTTATATTTACATTATTTACATTGAAACTAATATCCCCACCTTTGCTGTTATTATCACCTGATCTCCTTCTGTCTGAATTTCTGGGATGAGACTGTATTAACGTTATTTAAATTGAGACTAATATCCTAATCTTTTCTCTTATTATCATCTGATCATCTTCTGCCTGAATTTCAGGCATGTGAAGTTATTTACATTGAGACAAATATCCTAATCTTTTCTCTTATTATCATCTGATCATCTTCTGCCTGAATTTCAGGCATGTGAAGTTATTTACATTGAGACTAATATCCTAAACTTTTCTCTTATTATCATCTGATCATCTTCTGCCTGAATTTCAGGCATGTGAAGTTATTTACATTGAGACAAATATCCTAATCTTTTTCTCTTATTATCATCTGATCATCTTCTGCCTGAATTTCAGGCATGTGAAGTTATTTACATTGAGTTAAAAATATCCTAATCTTTTCTCTTATTATCATCTGAATATCTTCTGCCTGAATTTCAGGCATGTGAAGTTATTTACATTGAGACAAATATCCTAATCTTTTCTCTTATTATCATCTGATCATCTTCTGCCTGAATTTCAGGCATGTGAAGTTATTTACATTGAGACTAATATCCTAAACTTTTCTCTTATTATCATCTGATCATCTTCTGCCTGAATTTCAGGCATGTGAAGTTATTTACATTGAGACAAATATCCTAATCTTTTCTCTTATTATCATCTGATCATCTTCTGCCTGAATTTCAGGCATGTGAAGTTATTTACATTGAGACAAATATCCTAATCTTTTCTCTTATTATCATCTGATCATCTTCTGCCTGAATTTCAGGCATGTGAAGTTATTTACATTGAGACAAATATCCTAATCTTTTCTCTTATTATCATCTGATCATCTTCTGCCTGAATTTCAGGCATGTGAAGTTATTTACATTGAGACTAATATCCTAATCTTTTCTCTTATTATCATCTGATCATCTTCTGCCTGAATTTCAGGCATGTGAAGTTATTTACATTGAGACAAATATCCTAATCTTTTCTCTTATTATCATCTGATCATCTTCTGCCTGAATTTCAGGCATGTGAAGTTATTTACATTGAGACAAATATCCTAATCTTTTTCTCTTATTATCATCTGATCATCTTCTGCCTGAATTTCAGGCATGTGAAGTTATTTACATTGAGACAAATATCTAATCTTTTCTCTTATCATTATCATCTGATGCCTCATCTTCTGTAGTTAATTTCAGGCATGTTTCTTATTATATTTAGGCATGTGGAAGTTATTTTGAGACAAATATCTAATTTTTCTCTTATTATCATCTGATCATCTTCTGCCTGAATTTCAGGCATGTGAAGTTATTTACATTGAGACAAATATCCTAATCTTTTCTCTTATTATCATCTGATCATCTTCTGCCTGAATTTCAGGCATGTGAAGTTATTTACATTGAGACAAATATCCTAATCTTTTCTCTTAAATTGATCATCTTTCAGGCATGTGAAGTTATTTAATTGACATCTAAATCTTTTCTCTTATTATCATCTGATCATCTTCTGCCTGAATTTCAGGCATGTGAAGTTATTTACATTGAGACAAATATCCTAATCTTTTCTCTTATTATCATCTGATCATCTTCTGCCTGAATTTCAGGCATGTGAAGTTATTTACATTGAGACAAATATCCTAATCTTTTCTCTTATTATCATCTGATCATCTTCTGCCTGAATTTCAGGCATGTGAAGTTCTTTACATTGAGACAAATATCTTCATCTTTGTTGTTATTATCACAAAATTTCAGTCGTTGTGTCCTTCAGCATTCTTCGTGTTTCTGTTAATCTGAGTAATCGTAAGAGAATTTCGAAGAAAACCCTTTATCTAATCTACGGAAGTAGACAGTTTCCGTTTCAATATCCATATCTAGAGGTATAGCCTTTTTAGTACTGCCCAGTTATTGGCCTCCTTTTCAGCCCAAGTTTGTAGTACCCAGCTCAGGAACTGGACTCACTTACCCAAATTCACGAACCAATGCTTTAATCCACTAGGCGATTGATTCGTGGGAAGGTCACCTGAATCCACAGGCACTTGAAGATGTCCGGAGGACATAATGGTCGAAACGAATCGGGATAATTGCAACAAAGATGAGGTCATGAGTTCGAATCCTTCACGCTTGTCTTTATTAGAGATTTCTAACTAAACTAAATTCAACTTGCGAAAGATTTCATAGGAACGTTCTGCTTATTTGGATAGCAGGAGAAATTTGTAATAACAGATTTTTTTGTTTGCGCATTTAACAATAACAATTTTTTCTTAATGTTTTATAGAATCTGGTCAACCTAAAGCTCTCAGTTGTAACGAGTTGCAATTACAAGTAATGGCAAATTCTTTCACGCAAGATTCGGCTGGTGTTCCTCTTTGCCCAGGAAATAGTAAGTCAATTCTATTTCATCAGCTCATCATCATCATCATCATCATCATCATCACCTTTGATTTCTGTTGTATACACATTTCCTTCCAGCTCTCAACCATAGACCTAAGGTAAGAAATGGCTTCATGATATTTCCTAATGATTATTTTTGTAAAAAACAAACAAATAAACAAAAACAAAGGTCACACATATTTTATATAGATAAAGCTCTTCGTAATGTGTGAGTTGTACTTGTGAGTAAAATTTTTTGTAGTCCTTTAACACATGGGCTACCCGGAATCTATTCAATGGGTCTATCGAAACCTTTTCCAGGTTCCAACTACAACTAGAATTAATGATGTCCACATGTGTCACATTTTTGTGATTTCCACTTCAACATAGTTGTATTTCGATAGTTTTTTTTCTTTTTTTGAGATCTTCAAAGATACATTACAATCTGCACTGAGAGATTAGCTTTGAGTGTTCTATTTGTGTGTATTGTAAAGTCCAATAACATTTTTACAGTTCCTCTTTATGCAACCGGATCTGAGTGATGTTCATACCAGTTTCTTGCAGTTTCCTTTCCGTAATAATTGCACATTTTCCAGTGCATATATTGGTCCACTCTATCATGCCGAGTTTTATATTCAGTTGGTAATAACACTGTACAACCTGATACCACAAAATCTACATTTCGGGTTAACACAATTTTTCAGTATATGTGTTTGATGATGAAGATTATTATTATTATTATTATTATTATTATTTTCTTTGATTTCTGGCGTTTACACATTTCTTTCCGGGTCCCGCACAGGGATCTAATGTTAGAAATGGCATCATGACACTTTCCACTGACAAAAAAAAAAAAAGAAAAGAAAAAAAATTACATAGATAAAGCCCTTCGTAAAGTGTGGGCTGTACTTGTCAGAACAATTTTTTGTATCTCTTTGAGGCATGGACTTCCAGGAATCCCTCCAATTAGTTTACTGGAATCTTTTCTAATCAAACCTAGGGCTCCAACTACAACAGGGATTGTTGATGTTTCCATATGCCACATTTTTGAGATTTCTATTTCAAGGTCCTTGTATTTTGACAGCTTTTTGAATATCTTCAAAGATACATTGCAGTCAGCAGAGACTACCATATCAATAAGGAGGCACTTTTTTTGTTTGTGGTCTTTAATAACAATGTCTGGGCGGTTGGTTTTGATTGTTCTGTCAGTGTGTATTGTGTAGTCCCATAGAATTGTAACAGGTCCTAGCTCCGTAACCGGGTCTGGGTGGTGTTCATACCAGTTTCTTTCAGTTTTCTTCCCGTAGAAGTTGCAAATTTTCCTGTGCAGATATTGGCCCACTCTGTCATGTCGGGTTTTTATTATTATTATTATTATTCGTTTGTTCTTTGTGTTTTTCTCTCCAACTCATTTTCTGTTTTCTTATTCTTTTTCTTCCTCGTTTCTTTTTTCTTTACTCCCCCCCCATTTCAATACAAATCTTTCCATCCTCCTCTCTTTCTGTTTGTCCTATTTTATTCTATAAATATTTCTGTTTCCGCTTTTCTCTTCTATCCGTTTTTAATTGTTTTCTTTTCCCGATTCTTTCTTTATTTTACTGTTTCAGTCTTTTTTTTGTATTCCTTCCCATTTTCTGTTTCCCTCTCTCTGTTTCCTCCTCTTTCTCAATTTCTCTCATTTTCCTTTCCTCATTTCTTTTTCTCTTTCTCTCTTCTTGCTTCTTCGACTCCTTTTTTCAGTTGTTCATCTGTTTTTCTTTTCGTTCTCCTTTTCAATTTGTCTCCACATTCTTTTTCTCTGTTTCTTAATTCCGTCTTTGTTTCGCTGTATTTTTTCTCTCCCTCTTTTTCTGTTTTCGAATTCTTTCTCGTAAATATCTGATTTATGAACCAAAGCAATAGCAAGGATTTATTTTAGAAATCTAACATGGTAATTCAGCAAGATTATATATATAATAAACCATACAACAGTGGTGATATACCGGAAAACCTTTGCAAATAGAAGTGAGCTGTTTAATCAGAAATTACTTTTTCTTGTAGGGAATGTTGCTATTTTTTTTTATCGAGTTAATGCTGAACAATCTAACTACTGACCTTGTGTAAATGGATGGCGGAACAAGGTTTAGGAAAGATAATAAAAAGACAATATTTATTAAGAGCTAAAAATGACAGAAAATTATGGAGAGCCATGATAACAAACATTCTGAAGGGACACGGCGCATAGATGAAGAAGATTGGTATTCCAATGGCCAGTGACGCAGCACCTTTCCGGGCGAACCCTTTCCTTTACGTACATGCCGAGAAACTGATCCTTTGAAAGCCAGTTACTTTCCTTCCACAAAATGGTTTGTAGACGATCTTTACGCTATTAACGATGGTGGTCAGTTTGAAAGAGTCTTTCATGATATATAGAGCAGACCTCGAATTGAAAGTTGAACACTCATTCATAAATTTTGTTGTCAACATTGAAGACGGCATATTCGTCTTCAAACTGTATGACAATCGAGATAGTTTTTCCTTCCATATTGTTTGCATAAATTGTGCATGCAGCAGAAATCTTTTCTACTCTGCAATGGAGTGGATTTGTATTGCTCCTTCCCCGCTAAAATATTCTAACGGGCCAAAAGTTTGCTTGGCCGCATGAAAAACAGGGAGCGAGTAGTCAGATATCAAAACGTTGTCGTAAAAGGATCATGGATGGCCATCAGGAAAAATTTCATCAGCTTTTACACTCAACATAAGAAATAATCAACAGTTTTTTCAAAAAATGCAATATGGACTGGGAAAAAAAAGTTATTAATATTTACATCAACATCATCCAATCGGTATCTTTGCTTTGTTCTCGATATCACAGTACTGATTCCAACTAGCAGTCGACCAAAACACAGGTGTAATTGCTGGCCAGCCTACGTCAGTATGATCATATTCGAATTAAAGGGTCGACATTCTGATGTAGGTATGGAATTGATGAACTGCACGCAAAAAGATACAGTCCTGGTAAAGTTTTATATATTCCGTAAATATATAACTGTGCCCTTGTGAATATTCGTTCCCATTTTTTGGTATATGTGAATGTATATGCATGCATGCATGCGAATGTATATGAATATATGTGTGTATTTGTGAGTATATGTATATATATATATATGTATATATATAAAAGTGAACATTGAGACCACCGACCAGCGGCAACGCAATCGTTAGACCATGCGCATTGTATTTAATTTTTGATTCGACTATTTATATATGCTAGCTAGAGATGCATTATTTGGTAGGTCTTTTGTATTAATCTAACGATTATTGGGTAGTCGGTAACAGTTATGTTTTGAATTATTCTAGGGGCTATTGAGTGGAAATAATTGTGAATCTGAATACAGTTTTGTGGCTATTTTATAGTGCTGTTTGTTATTATTGATTATATATATATATATATATATATATATATATATATCAGTTTTCGTTGTGATCCTTTCAAGTTCGCGAATTAACTTCTTGTTAGCTTTAGAAAATTGATTAAGAAAAATACAAAAATTTTCATTTAAATAGTTTTTATATTTCAAGTACTTTCAATCTCATCTAAGATCATCTTCAGGGGTTTAAGTTGTCTGTGAGTATGTATATGTGTTTCTGTAAATTCAAAACATTTCAACTGTTCGTTTTTACTGCTTATGCAGAGTCCAAGATTTCAAAGTTCAAAGTTCACGTGTTTTTTTTTCTAAGTATAAGGGAAGTAACTTTTCCATTTTTGATCATGTATATATATATATATTTTTATAAGCTTAAATGCTTTGTTGCTATACTCATCGTTAACTTTATTTATTTTGGGTTTTAATTCTCTTATATAAAGGGTTTCAAGGATTTTTAGTTTTTGCTTATTTTTGTTTTTATGTAATATAGACATATTTTCAACTAATATCCGTCTAATCCGAGTGTGGGTATGACTGTTCGTTTAAATGCTCAGATATTGAACTATGCTTAGCTAAATGAAATGTAAGCCTTTTTGTTAGAATCATCGTAGTAACACATTTTATTTTATTTTGGGGGAGATAATAATGGTTTTAGTGATACTAATTAACCCATAGCTGGGGGGAAGTGCAGAAGTCACACCTTTCCCAAGGGTATTTGCGCATAGGTGGATATAACGAATCCAGATAGCCCTTCGATTAACAATTCAGAGCCATTATCTACATCCAAGCTTACGGTACCTGGTATTTCCAAGCGATCACCCATCTAGATACTGGTCAAGCTCGACGTTGCTTAACTTCGGTGATCGTATGGGAACCGGTGTTTCAACGTGATGTGATGTGGCCGTAAACCTGAACTGTTTGTGAAACAGAACTAATCAGGATTGAAGTGCAGCAAATGGCTAGTACAAGGTTGCTCATATGAACAGTCTTACGTTCTTGGCTGTGTACTTCTTTTCGGTGATTAAACACCGGAGTGTTGTGCTGATAAATCGGTAGCACGAGTTCCACGGGTCAAATTATATAGCGTAACTTCATTTTGCTTCAAGCAATTATAGTTAAAATATTCTTCTATGTGCCGTTTGCCTTCAGGGCGTTAGCGATCATGGCTCTCCACAATTTTCTGTATTTTGTAGCTCATAATAAATTTTGTCTTTCTTCATGTCTTAAACCTCGTTCCGCCATCCATTTACTCAAGCTCGACAGGCATATTATGCGTTGTTTTCCTGTCTTCCTTCAATCTGTCTTGTGAGTATCACATTTTTCAAGCCCTTTTTCCTCATTATGTATCTTAAAAATTTAAACTCTTTCTGATGTTAAGTATAAATGTACGTTTTGTTTCCATTTTGTCTAAAACTTTGTCGTTGCTCATATATTTGGTCCATGGTATTCTCAGCATCCTTCTGTAGAACCATATTTCTTTTGCTTCAAGTCTGTTTTTCATCAGTGAGAATTTCTAGCATTTACTGGCATATAGGAGGACTGATGTTACATAAGTTCAATAATCTTTTCTTTGTTTCTAACGAAATGTTTTTTTTCCGTTTCTTAATACTTTCCTTAGCGTTTGGAAAGCATCGTTCGCTATCTCAATGCATCTTTGGTTTTCAATTTCGATCTTTTCGTCCTCACAGATTGTCCAGCATTAGCTTGATGAAAAACAACATTCCCCTTGTCGGAGTTACCTCCTTCTTAGTTCCCTAATTCTTCGCCAGGGGTTTCTCTCCCCATGCTATAACTATCGGGCAACTTCTTGCCTCGAACTTTTTTTTTTCCCTCAGACCTCGGTCCGCATCCCACCTCGTGTGGAGGTGAGGTAAATCTCTCTTTCTTCTTCATTTCAGCGACAAGATGTAAGCTCTTAAAAGATCAGCGTTTCCCATTTCTGGGTAAATGCTATGAACATTACAAACATCCACCACAATACGAACACTTACGCACACACAAATGTTCACACACACAAACACAATGTTAACTGTCTATGTGCTTTGTAATTTGTTGTTAATACACATATTTGTTTTAACATATATCGGTCTTGTTTGTTTGTCTTCTTTATCTTCAGTTGGACTTAATCCGAGTCCGACATTTTCATGTTGTAGCTGGACCTTCTAGCAGGAAATATAAACGCACGTGTTTTCTTTACATCTTCACCCCCCCGGTCTTCTACAACCCCAAGAAAAAAATTAAAACACGTGTACCTACCAAATATAATGTTCATAAGTAATAATGAAATAATGTCGGATAAAATCTTTCAAAATATATATATATATATATATATATATATATATATATATATATATATATATATAATATATATTATAATAAAAACATCGCTACACAAAAGCTTTCATGTTTCAATACTATGATTGTCCTTCCTCAGATGATGGTAGATAACTTGTAATAAAAATGATTTATTAGAGAAATCTAAAAACTAATCGTTACCTCTTTTCGGAAGTTAAAGTGTGGGGGTATAAGGTCAGAAATGAAAAAATATACTAATTGTTATGTCTCGATTAATCAATATCTATCTATATATCTATCTATCTATCTATCTATCTATCTAATTATTATAATTATTTACTGTTTTAAAAATATGGGCCCATCGATACACAGGAATTACCATGTTTCAAAACAAACTAAAATTTTAAATTTAATAATAAAATTAAATTTAAAATCCATAGCTTCATTCCATTCTCAATAACCTATTAAGAAGTTTACTTCACTTATAAGCACAGTAATAATTTAAACTGTTAAGGTTACGAAAAAATTCAATCATTTTGATAAGGGGTGTTTGGGTGTTAATTTCCTTAGACAACATCTTATGTATCAAATATAAGTTACTTTCAAAATCAGGTTAAGTTAAGGTGGGGCAGGGATGCCTGCTCGTCAACAATGACATACGTTTTTCGCGAGTCGTCTGTGTTTTTCAATGATAAAATTTTTGGGGCATTTTTACTTGGCCGCTTAATTTATAATTTTATTCATAAAGATTTCTTAAAGGGGTTGTCGGAATATGAGTAAGTCGTATTTAAACACACACACACACACACACACACACACACACACACACACACATATATATATATATATATATATATATATATATATATATATATATATATATCAGAAGCAGGTATAATTAACATAAATTAACAAAACTGTTCCTGACAAGAAACATGCCAAAATTTAAAGAAATTCTTTGGGGAAACTTGCAGAAATTTAAAGAAAACGTATCTATGAATATAAAAGGGATCTTATACGCATCAATTTAGCAACTTCACTAGTCATACACAGAAATAAATTCAACCACAATTTTGATCTAAAAATGCAACACTTATCAAAAGAGAAAGAAATTTACTCAGAAGGAAAATTCATCAGAGTAATCAAAATATAAACCTACGCCCCGATTTTTCCAATTTCACTTTTCCTTGAAAGAATTACTACTTTCCAAAGCCAACACACACAACCACAAAAATATTAAAAAATGAAAATAAACCGGTTTTTAAGATGCACAGTACTTACGTCCACCATAAACCATAACGATCTGATTACAATTTAAACAATATGTAATGTTCAAGAAATATTTTTTAAATAAATGATACTTAAAAGATATTTCTTGAACATTACTCGCTTACTTGATTTCGACTTATGACACTTTGTGTCTTCCACATGTTTTGACTGACCTTACAACCACCTGATGAATTCTTATGGACATTGTCAAATTGAAAAGCCTTGATAAGCCAATAACATCCTTGCTCTTGTATATAAACACGTTCAACAAAAATCCTACATTTGTCTTGATAAAATCTCTCAGAGGACAAAACACTTTAGCTAAGAATAGTTTTTCCTCTTGTCTTTTTATTCATTTTGTTTCTTTACTGATAGACTTTACCTGAAATTAATTTACATATACCGGGTGTAACAGTAAAATTGTCCAAATCGTATAACTGTATGGGATAATTATCGATCCCACAAAATATTTGATATCTAAAAAACCACTACACTAATTGAATTTCTTTTTTCCAGATTTTCAGATAGGGCGTTTAACCATCTTGACAGCATTTGTCGTAAGAATCACTGAAAAACTCTTTTGAGTTATTTAGCTAGAAAGAGAATAGGTTAAAATTGTTTTGCATCAGCATAAATATACCTTTCCAACTGAGAGGAAAAAGATCACTAAGGCCTTCAGTAAGGGTACCAACATTCATATTCTGGCTTCCATCTTCAAAGTCCATTCAAGAACCATCCAGAGAATGATGAATAAGTTTAAAAAAGAGGGAACAGTAGAGAGGAAAACTGGATCAGAAGGTCAAAACAACAAGAGGGATCATCATTTCAACTTAGAGCTAAATACATTCTTATTATTCAAAGTAGGGTCCAATAATGTTATAAAAACCTCGGAGAATTCCAGTAAGATCTCTTTAATCATTTCTAAAATACAACGTTTCAAAGCTTAATCTAACAATTGGACAATTTTGCTGTTATAAATTGGAATATATATATATATATATATATATATATATATATATATATATATATATATATATAAATTCTGTTAAATGTTTATCGGAATTTCTGCAAATAGTTTGGGAAGTGGAATCAATTGTTACTGCTAAATATCCAATCTCACATTCTCAAAGTGTCCTGTATTCTTAAAAACAAAATTCAAATCTAACCGTTTTGTATTGTTTGGTTCTATTTCAGGCACAAACTCTTGTCCACACACCTGGATTGCATCTCATAATAGTTGCTACAAATTCTTCGAAAGTCGTGTCCTTTACAATGATGCTGTGGAACAGTGTATAAAAAATAATGCTTATATCGTGTCGATCAATGATGCCACCGAAGAGTCTCGCTTGCTTGCAATAATCCAGAAAATCCAAGTGTTCCAAAATATCTTCGAATGGTGGATTGGACTCACCAATGTACAACACCTTGGTGTTTTTCGCTGGTCGGATGGCCAACCGGTTTCCTATAACAAAATTACTAACATGAAATATAATGATGTTACCTGGATCCCAATAAAAAACATGTGGTCAACCAGCAATAATTATCAGGCATTTATATGTGAAAAAGATTCAGGTATGACACCAAATAAATCTATTTTTAAAATCATTTCACCCAAACCAAGGCAAAAAAGTCACTAAGACGCAAAGGGTTACTGAGGGTGAGAGAATATGAGAAAAATAAAACGTTCTTAACCCTTTGAGCCCTGACCAGCGCTTTACCGGTGGTAGAAAAATGACGTAATGCCCAGCCACCAGTTGAACAGTGGTAGAGAAAAATTGCTTAATGCTCAGCAACCGGTTGAATGGTGGACAAACACTTGTAACTATTTTTATATCTGCCGTGAAACATTACATACGAATTATTTTCGAAGTTTGACTCAGGAGCTCAGGCAGAAGGGTTCAGGAACACAGGGCTCAAAGATGAGATAACAATAAAAGAACTGGAATTGAGAAGAAAAGAGGATAAAGATTGATATTACATTCACAATTGACTGGGAAGATAGAAACCGAAATAGAGTTCCACAGGCAAGAAGTGCGAGAGAGGAAACTGTTAGCATAGAACTTACGGTTACATCTAGGCATTTCAAGTGTGAGATGCTGAAATCTTGCAGCCAATCTAGTCGTGCGCTTAAATTCATAAAGTCTATGTACCATAGAGGGAAGTTCATCAGAATTATTACCATGAAAGTATTTTTAGAATAAGCACAGGGAAGATACGTTACGACAGTGCGAAAGTGACTGAATCCTAGATACTAGGTGAGGACCAATAGCATTGCGGATTCTTGTTTGTATTTCATCAAGAATATTTAAATACATAGCAAAAGCACCGGACCAGATATGACAGTAATTTACAAGGCATGAATAAATGATAGACTTATAAATGTGGAAGACTTATATCTTACTATTTTATATCGTACTCATAAAGTTTTAGATTTGTAATCAAGTAGGTTTATTTTATATATATATATATATATATATATATATATATATATATAAAAACACTAAATGCGATCTACCTTACTACCCGGGTTTCAACTGCAAGTTTCCTCAGGCAAGTAGAAGAGTGAAGAATTCAGTGAATTCCACCACTACATATGAACACCGGAAGATAGAAAGAATGGTGAAAGAGGGGAGGGAAAAATCCAGAGGGGGTGGTGAGGAAAGAGAAGTGGGAGGGAAAGAAAAGAAGAAGTGGGAGGGAAAAAATTATTAATTTCGTTCATCCGGGTTCACACACACACACACACACACACACACACACACACACACACACACACACACACACACACAAAATACCTGCTCAAATGCCTGCGTTTAGATAAAACCTTAGATCTCTTATTAAGCAGCACATCCTTGTTTGGATATATATAACTTATAATATATTATGAACTAAAGAGAGAAAAATTAGAAGCAACTACTTAACCAAAAGTTTTTCTAGTTGCCACCTCTTTGGCTTGTAGGCCACATCCTTAGTTTCTCTTCGCACACCCATATTAAGACAAAGTTTAAAATACGTACCCGCAAAAAAAGATGTAGCAAAAAACGTTTTTTTCTCTTGATGCCGCTCTTTTTGTATACTCCCTCAGTAATTTTTATTTATAAAATTTTTTTATTGGTTTAAAAAAATATTTTTTGAAATTTTAATAAAAGCCAAGCATATGAAACATACCGTTTCCATATATCCATCTTTTTAGACAGCAATCTACTACCCCAATTTGCCTCATTCCATAGTACCCTTGAGAATCGCGTATAATTTCTCTCTTCACCTGAATAATGGCGGATACGCGATGCTGCATAAAGCCTGTTCTGGAACCATGGCATTGGTATATCCATCTGGTTATATTCCAGGGATATTTATAACTTTGTAATGTTGGGTATGGCTGCAGGAAATTGAGTGAGGTCTGCAACATAGCACATACATGCTCAGTGGGGTTTAAATCTGACAGGTACATAGACCAATTGAATACCTGAAATCAGATGATTGATATTGAAAGGAATTTCTTGCCACCCGTTCAGTGGATTAGGATATACGTTATTACCTTATTGGAAACAACGGAAAAGAGGAAAAATGTTGCAATGTTAAGAAAATTGAAAAATTCATAGTTCCATTCTCAAATTTAAGCAAATGTTTGTTCGCACAAAATATTATTGAAATCCTGTGGGACCCTTTGGGTAGAAAAAAAAATAGCAGGCAGACATATGTGAATACATAACTTCGGCTAAGTTCTTTTGGGAGATATAACATTGAACATGTCAGCCACTGATTTATTATTTTCTAAGTTTAGTTTATCATAAGGCCAATTCTTAGAAACACCTGGTGAGACTCTGTCATAACAGAAGTAATGATATATGATTCAATCAATAAAAGGCCTATCTTTAACACTTTCGGGTTCATAAAACCAAAGTATTATTAATGAATTCATACCACAAATACAAAGCGACAACAAATGATAACAGTTAAGAAAGTAATACTATTAGGACGTTGGTGATCATGTCTCACCACAGCTTCCTTTTCTTTGATATTTGTAAATTGCTAAGTCTGCAGCTAAGAAAGTTGGTTCATTATGTCGTGCTAGACAATTTTTCACGTTAGAATCTATCTTACATATTCATGTCTACCATCCATCCTTGCTTTGAATATTGCTGCCACACCTAGTGTGGTGCTCCTGCTATATATTTAGAGATTCTTGATGAAATCCAAAGAAGAATCTGCAATGTTATTGGTCCTGACCTGGCATCTCGGCTTCGGGCTCTTTCCTACCGTCATAACGTAGCTTCCCTGTGCCTTTTCTATAAATACTTTCTTGGTAATTGTTTGGATGAACTTTTCTCTATAGTAGTTAGACTTTATGAATTTAAGCGCAGTACTAGATTGGAAGCAAGGTTTCATCATTTTACAGGTGAAATTGCTCGATGTAACCGTAAGTTCTACGCTAATTGTTTCTTCTATCGCACTTCTCGCTTGTGGAACTTTCTTCAGACATCTTGCTTCCCGAATTTGATCTTCAAAAATGTAAATGCAATGTCAATCGTTATCTTTTTAATTCTTATTCTTTTATCGTCCTCTCTATTTAATAGCAGTTTTACTTATATTCTCTAGCACTCAGTAATCCCTTGCATCCTAGTGGCTTTATTTCCTTGCTTTGGGTGAAATGGATATAGTTTTATTCTTTTCCTAACATGGTTGCCAACAAAGGCTACAGAGCTCAATTTGCGTTATAGTTTAACCCAGCGGTCCCCAACATCTTTGCTCGACGGACCGGGTGTCATGCAAGATAATTTTTCCACGAACCGAGAGGGGAGGGGATTGGTGTCGGTCACGTGCATAACAAAACACAATAAACAAAACTGCGATAGTCAATAAAATGAAAAAAAAAAATTTTATTCTTTATGCGCGGTCCGTTACCAAATGGTCTACAGCCCGGTACCGGTCTGCGGACCGGTGATTGTCGTCCGCTAAAACCCAGAGTTGAAGGTTGTAGTAGAAAAGATGGCTTAATGCTTTCCTCAAAAGAATCAGTCTGAAGTGAACATAAATTGTCCCAACTAGAATTTGAACTCATCTTTCTGATTCTATTTTCTCGTGCTGGTGACCATTACGGCACCTGCTTCCCTCATGCTCTTCATATCTTCTTTTGATTTGATTTGATTTTTTTTTATTTAGTTTTATACAATTTCTTGATTTCTTGTACTTTAAGTTAAAAATGAAACCGAATCATTAATTGGTCGATCGCTAAGCGAAAGAAAAATACTTAATCTAGGGCGTACGCTTATTTCCCGTCTTGTGTTTCCGCTGGTACCATAGGTAAATTTTCAAACCCAGGTATAAAACAAAGATTTTATACTATCCAGGTAGGTACTCCTCGAGCTAGGAAGACTGGCGTAACACAGTCTTCCTAGATCCGTTTCCTCTTGTGTTATTTGGTCGATCTGTTTGGAGTTAACCTCTTAAAAATACATATTTGCCAATATTGTTTTTGAGCCGAAGTCATCGCCTTATGCGCATGCGTTTATGAACGCTTGTAAAATTATTTATGTTGCAACTAATGCTTTTAAGCGTTGCAGCAGAAGTAGTATTTTAACCTTAGTTTAACAATTTAAAACTTTCTTATGCGCTTTACCTATCCTCACAGACCCGTGCAATTGAATTCCTCAATAAACAACCAACTATACTGAAAACAGGATTCGCGTCTTCATTTCTTGTGGCGTTAACTTTACTTTTCGTTTCTTTGTGAAGATTTTCCCAGTTTTTGTGCCCACCGACGCGAACGAGAATCGAGATAAAACATAGACTGATTTGTCCAGTCAGTGAGGCGTCTGCTCTTGTATGTATATATTAAGTAGGAAAGAAACTCTGACTTCAGATCTGAAAACGAAACTTTTTCCGGCAATAATTTTTTGCAGATTAACATTCTTTAAACTATTTTTGGCCGCGACACTTGTCAAAATCGAAAAATATCGACTTTTATTATTTATAGATTTAAAAAGAGGGAATCCTGTTTATAATATCGATAAAGTGTTAAATCAATCGCTGACTTTTACTGAGTTAATGGACGTAGATGTTTTGCGTACGAAAACGGATGTTTTTTGGTGGGGTGGAGAGGTTACAAAATATTCATCTTTAAAACAAAGAACAAACGGATACACACATTTTGAATTAAAGAACAAAAATTTACATAAATTATTCAAAGTATGTATCCGTTTATTCTCCATTTAAAATAAATAATTATTAACCTTCAATGTTTGTTCATGTGCTAGTGAAAATATCCCACCCAGAAAAAAAGTTTAAAAAAAAATTAAGTTAAAAAAAGGTTAAGAATTCAGAAAATTAAAAAAGCATACAGATATGTTACCACATTTTCAAACTTTGTTAATATCAACTTAGATCAATAACTCTGTAAAATCAGGGATCGATTTTGCATTGTTTCAATATTATGTAAAGGACCCGCGTTCTAAAATAATAAGAAATCAATATTTTTCGATTCTGACAAGTATCGCGACCTACCTATAAATCTAAAAACATTTATTTTTTTCACAATGTTTCCCTGTTTTTTATTACGAGTTTACCAGTATATTTAAGTAGTATTTAGAAGATACAAGGTAACCAAAAAAGTCTTTTACAACAAATTTGACATACTGTTAGTCCTCAAATCCCCACCGACATCCAGAATATTTTGCCAGCGTACCTCCAGCTGCGCAATATCATGGCGGTAAATATTCAGGTGTCTTGGGTTCAAATAAGTGCCTGCTGCAAGTCTGCCTAATTTACGAAGAGTTTCATACGAACGTGGTTACCCAGGGAATGGAAGAAGTGGTAACCTGTTGACGCAGGGTCCGGGTAGTAAGGTGGATGGCACAGTGTCTCACAACCGTATGGTATTCCAGGCCACCCACGGCACATGAAGTCTGGCATTGTCATGGAGGAACAGTACACACTTACGATTAACCAATGCTAGCTTCTTCTGCTTACAGCACACGTTCCAACTGCTGTGAGTATAGGTCCGCAATGATGTTTTGATCCGTTGGTAGCAGCACTAGTCCATCAGATACAGAGCATGACCTTGGATGTAGAAGTGATCTCGTGATGTGAGGCACAGGGTTACATGATGACAAAAAAATATCTGGCACACTTGGAAGTTTCATTCAGGACCCAATTTTCGTCACTGGTGAGCAACTGATTAAATATGTGTACCCTGCGGTGCCGAGAAAGCAACGAGAAGCAGGCTATCACTCGTTGCTTGTTGGTTTCTGACAGTGTTTAGGGAACCCCCTTGCTCAACTTATACTTCTTCCGAATACGATGCAGGTGAAGTGTGACTGTTTCATCAGAAACCTGAAGCGTTTGATAAGCTCACTACAGATGTGGCTGTTGTCCTCTATGGCCGCCTCCAGGGCTTCATCGTCCAGGATCTGTGGCCGACCACCGCAGGGTTCATCACAAAGGGACAGATCTCTTGACATGAACTTCTGGAACCAATGCCTGGCGGTGCGTTCACTCACAGCATTATCCCCAAAGGCTTGACGTATTCGGCGATTTGATGCAGCTGTGGACAAGCCTACCTTAAAGCCATAAAGCAGACAGCCCTGAACAAGCTGCATCGACACCGCCACGTTTCCTGGCCGCTGCTTGAGCTATGTGTGTGCAACACACCTGCATTGGTCAAGAGCAATATCTCCCCACCGCTTTCCCATTCACGTGATGCACTCATCTGCGTATCATTGTGTGTCACTTCTTCCCGCATTGCATAAAAAAAGACGGCAAGTACTTTTTTCATTATCTTATAATTAGACATAACTCATTTTTCAAAATTATTCACTTTTTAATTATCCCTTTTCTCTTAAGCTTTTCGCGGCTGTTACAAAGATATTTCACAAGCAAGCGTCATCACATCAACTGTCGACATGACAGTGAACATGTGCGTTGAATTGTGTCGTGGAAGAATCAAAAACTATGCTTTGTTGGAGGAGTACCTTTGCTATTGTTCAGACAATATATCCACTCAGGCGACTTGTGACACAAAGGCGACGTGCAAAGCTCAGCCAAATCAATTGTGCGGCAAGTATCCAGTTTTCGCTGCCTACCAAGTTGGTAAGTACAATATTTTTATACCAATTCCACATCAGGATTGCCTTTAATTAGGCATCGCCAATTTTCATGGCGTAAGATTTGATAGTTGAGTAAAAAAAAACATGAAACGTATAAAACTTGATTTTAAGTTAAGTTTTTTTTTTCTATTAATCGAAAACTGAAAGAAAAAAAAACGCTGGTATAAATGTTATTTTTATATTTATAGAGAATCGGAAATATTTGCGATTGAAAATTGTATTTACTTTGTATAAATAAATACTCACTATAAAAATATCATTGACGTTTTTTTTGGGGGGGTGTATCAATTTTAAGAATCTTTTAAAATTTATCTAATTACTGCAGTTTCTCTTCAAAATTAAAGCAGTTTCTCTTTAAAATTTAAGAGAAAAAATTCTTTTCACACGATTGCGCTCATTTTTTTAATTTGGATTTTCAACTTTGTCGAGGCAGATCACATTGAAGGTTGCGCCTTTTGAAGATAACACTTTCAAAATAAATTCTGAAAAAAAAAAAAATGTAACATCAGAAACCAAAAGAAATGTCGATTGGGATGACCAAGTCTGAAATTAAAAAAAGAAAATAAATAAATAATTAAAATTTAAAATTAAATTTTAACAATTTTAATTTTTTATTTCTTAATTTATATTCTTGGGCTATTGTCTGTAACAACAACAACAAAATAAATAAATAAAAAATAAACAAACATTTTCTTTGATTTTTTTTTGTAATTTTTCATTCGTCATTTTAAAAGTCTTTATGAGTTCGATCCTCACTGGATGCTCCACACTTTTGGCCTTGTGCCACATTTAAATCTACGCATAGGAAATCAGTTTTGGTACACCTTGGCGTGGTGTAATGGTTATATTGTCACGCTAGAACAGTTGCGATTGAATAGTGAGTTCGATCCTCACTGGGTGCCCATATTTTAGGCCTTGTGCCACATCTAAGCTACACTTAGAAATTTACCATCATTTTAAAAGATGTGCCACTATGGGATTTTTTATAAAAAAACTTGATGTCCTTTAATAAATAAATATAAAACGATATTGAGAAAATATCTGCAGCTATTCTGAAAATAATTTTAAAAATATTGTACGGCTGTTGATGCGGTATTAACTACGGGTGTTCATCTTTGTTGTTACCACGATATTTCGGCCGTAGTGCCCTCCGCCTGTTGATTCAGGTAACCACCAGGGAATTTTGAACTGAACACTTTATAAATTACTAGCAGAAGAGCCTGGCGTTGCCCGGGGATATAATAGTAAGAGATAGATCAAGTATCCACCATCATAAAGACTGAAAAATAAAATTAACAAAGATTATTGTTTAAGGTTGACGGACACGCATGTCTTAATTAGTTTTTTTGTTTTGTTTGTTTTTTTTTTACGAATTGGTCAAACCCAAACTCAAACAAAAACATTGTTTTCACTCTCTACCGATTGAATAGAATTTTATTATAAACAATTGTCTTGTAAATGGAATTTTAAAGCATTCTGAATGTAAAAATAAAGAAAAAAGTGTGCAAGACAATAAGAAACACTACATGCCAAAAAAAAAGTGAATTTTTGTTTTATCGGCTGAAAAATGTAGGAAATCCGATCTCATATATAAAGGAAACACACTCACAAACAACCTGGGTTTTTTTAACCCGATGTGAGTTGTCCCCTTTCATTCATTCACGATGTCTCTTAATCGTGTTTTCAAATTGATTTTGTGCAAAAACAATTGTATTTTTTTCCCATTTTTGGCGCTGTTAGAACCACCGCAAGGTAATTTTATGTAGTCCTGTGAAGTTTTATTTGAAATCGGTTGAAAATGTAGGAAATCCGATCCAATATATAAACACACACACACACACACACACACACACACACACACACACACACACACACACACAATCTGCGTTTTATAATAAGTAAGATTCTCGTTCTACTGTCTACTTCTAGGGATATTCCGTCTTGTATTTTTTTTTATTTATTTAGTACTATGGGCCACCTTGTTTCACGTTGTTTAATGCTGTACTAACCGGTGCAGGGATTGAACTCACAATGACTATTTCAGCAAGTATACGAACCAATGCTTTAAACAACTAGGTTATCTTCCCGTGGGACAATCCCGGGTCTATAACTTGGAGCTTTAAACTTAATGTTTAAATATGTCATTTACATTGTATAAACACTGTCATTATGAAAATAGCATTGCCTTTTTTTGGTGGGGGGAGGGTAGGGAGGTTCTTAAATACACATAGATTTTTAAAATCTTCCAAAATTCATCTCATTACTAGATTTTAATAGAATGTTTTGTATTCATGGAAAAGTGAATATATCTTTTCTTAAAGCAGTTCTCTCTCTTCAAAATCTGTTGCTGTCTCACTTGATTGCATTCATCACAGTTTCTTTTTAGTTTTTACTGTCGCTGTTATTGAAACCTTTCTTTTTTTTTTATTAATAGCGTCCATATGATATCTATTTATATGCTAGGTCTACTGAGGAGGCCCTCATATCTTAACATATGTGCTGATTTTTTTCAAACGTCTGATTATCCAGTCTTTTTAGCTGTTTAGCATTTTTACTTTATTCCACAGGTCTTAGTCACCATGTGTTTAACTCCATACATTGCCAGACATTCCTTATTTTATTGCCACTCTCTAATTACACCTTTTCTATACTGCCTTACTTTTAAGGGGCGGCTAATTTCTCCTTTGTATTCATCTTTGACTATAAACATTTCTTATTTCCTTTACAGACCAGTTTAAAAAGTTTGCCAATAACTGTCAAGATCTCCTTTTTGAGGGAATCACAGCTCCTACAGTTTACGTGCTTGAAGATAAACGCAAGAATTGTGACTTTAGAGGTATGTATAAAAAAGCAAAGTACTACTCTATTATCCTGTGATGAAATGGGAGGTAACCCACTTCTGTAGGGTGAATGCTTGGTTTAATTTGTTTTAAGGTATATCAACTTCAATGGATTATTTAGTGCCAATAAGATTTTTACGATGGGTTCGTGTGAATAGAATATGTATTCCTTGTAAGAAATCAGTTTGTAGAGCAGGTTTCATTGACTTATTTTTGTAAAGAGGATTTTTGTCGAAAATCAAATGTATTGCTGGTAATAATTTTTTATTTTTCAAAAATGTATTACTGGTATTTTTACTCTAAAAACCTATTTTTACACTTTCATGGAATTTTGACCTCAGTTTGGCGGTTAACTATTTGTTCATAGCTAGGACCCTAACAGGTGCTACCACCCTGGGTCACGTTGGACCTGGGAACAACAGAAATTAAGAGGTGGTCCCATGCTCCTCAAAACCTCCTGTTCAGAGGCCTTGCTGCCGGGTGTAGTTTATCGTCTTATCCAGGATGGGCGCAGTGTGAGTAGAACTTTAGTGAGAATTGACAATAGATGTTGAACAGAGTTAAATATAGAAATGCCTGGTCTTATGGGATCGAACCGGGGAAAACGCAAGAGAAAACTTGATTGCTTTTACTGATTAATGGAATCCAATTAGGAAAAGAACTGAATAAGAAATGTGGAAAACTAACGAATTAAGAAAGTTAATTAGTTTATAAGCTCGATTGAGGTGTTTTCAAGGAATTATTAAGTTGGATGTAACTTAGTAAAAATGGGCACGGCCCTGCACACACCCGCTACAACTGCCAAATCGTGCGAAAATGAAGACAAGTTATAAATTACTCCCTCTACCGAAATTGGGAATTATCCCTAAGTCTCCTTGAGACTAAGTTGTTTCAATAAAGACCTATTCATCGGATTCGAGTAGGTTCGGAGAAAACGGCTTTCCAGAAGAACTCAAGGGACCGTATGGTTTGTTGCAAAATATATTTTATAAAATTATGATTTATATAAAAATTATATTCGCTTGTAGTGATCTGGTCTCTGAGTAGTGTGTTCCATAATCACTGGGTGCTTATACTTGAGGCATTTTGCGAAATTAAGCCAAGCCCATTAAACTATAATCTACTTACCAGAGTTGCCAGGCTGAGTAACGGAAGATATTTTTAAAAGATTACCTGTACTAGATTTTGAATTTCGCCTCTTGTAACTTTCAGAGTTACAGATATTAAACATTGAATATCGCTACTTGTGGCTTTGAGGAAGAACTTTGAAAGCTCAGTGTTACTAATCTTCAAATTTTGTTAGTGAATTTGGGGTTACAAATCCATCTTTACAAAATTTGGAATTTCGCTATGTGTAACTTTTGAAAGCAAAACAATACTAAATTTAAAATTTCGTATTTGAATACTATTACTACTTCAATATCATGCCTGCTCAGGACATAGGCTACCATGGCTTTCGGAGGATTCCTTTTCTTTATGATCTGTGAATTGCCACGATTCATTGGGAAAGGTAATCGTAGTTAGCAATTAACATCTCCATAATCTTTAATTCCGAGTTTTTAATGGCTCGGTATTGTGGAAAAGAAGGTTAATGAAGAAATTGATTCATACCTTTAAAAGATTTATTCATACCTTTTAAATAATTTATTCATACCTATAAAAAGAAAATTAAAGAAGCTCGGTATTGTGGAAAAGAAGGTTAATGAAGAAATTGATTTATACCTTTAAAAGATTTATTCATACCTTTTAAATAATTTATTCATACCTATAAAAAGAAAATTAAAGAAGCTCGGTATTGTGGAAAAGAAGGTTAATGAAGAAATTGATTTATACCTTTTAAAAGATTTATTCATACCTTTTAAATAATTTATTCATACCTATAAAAAGAAAAAAAAAAGCTCGGTATTGTGGAAAACAAAGGTTAATGAAGAAATTGATTCATACCTTTAAAAATTTATTCATACCTTTTAAATAATTTATTCATACCTATAAAAATAAAAATTAAAAAGCTCGGTATTGTGGAAAGAAGGTTAATGAAGAAATTGATTCATACCTTTAAAAGATTTATTCATACCTTTTAAATAATTTATTCATACCTATAAAAAGAAAATTAAAGAAGCTCGGTATTGTGGAAAAGAAGGTTAATGAAGAAATTGATTCATACCTTTAAAAGATTTATTCATACCTTTTAAATAATTTATTCATACCTATAAAAAGAAGATTAATAAAGCTCGGTATTGTGGAAAAGAAGGTTAAAGAAGAAATTCATTCTTAAGTACATTTGTATAGGAAAAAAAACCTAAGCTGGAATTCAAATTTTCGTTAAAATAAAATCAAGTCAAATTCAAATAAACTTGAATTTAATTTCCGTGTCTTTTAAACGAGTTTAACGCATCAATATTACTTAAAAAGAAAAAAAAAACTAACTGTAAGTGACTCATAAAATGAGATGGGTTAATTCCCAATGATATTTACGCGAAAGTGAATTTCAACGAACTCGACTGGAATTCGAACTTGGTTCGCCTATTTCTTATTCCGAGCTGCTAAGTCCATTACATCATCAAACCCCCGGCTATAGGGGTAAATAACTCAAAAAATAGTTACGGAAAAGGTGTCTTCTGATAAAAAAAATTGTATGCAGCCCTGGTGTAGCATATTAGCATGCAGCCATCAACAAGATCATGGAGTTCACAATGTTTATAATCTCGACTGCAGTCGATCTACGGATGCGTCCATATATTACTATCATGATTATTATAAAGTCATAAAAATAACTACTAAATTTAAAAGGAATTAAGATTTAACTTACTATTCCAAGCTAAATATAGCGAAAATATCAGCCGCAGTATGCTCACTTATTGGTATGGCGATTGCTTGTTTATCTTCAAGCGAGTTCTTCAAATCAGCGTAGTATTTAAGTAATATTACTATTTTCTTCGGTGTAATAGAACAAAAGAAATAATGACATTGACTTTTATACTGAGTGCCCTAAAATTCACCAAAGGATTTCCACATTTAATAACACCTTTATTTTTAAAAATTTTAATTCATAATACCATACTCACTACATAGAGTAGATATGAAGCATAATTTCATTAGTTGAGAAATATTTTTAAGTGGAGTCCATTTTTCGGCTTCGTATTCTAAGGCATTTTCCACCACAACCCTCAGTGTTTCAGGCTCTGCTGCTTTAATGTATGTCTGAATGTTGTCCTTCAGTTGTTGGAGAGTATGAGGCTTGTTGACATAAACCTTTTCTTTGGGATAGTCCTATAGGAAGGATTCGGGGCTTGTCAGATCATCCGGGTAACGTGGTGACCAGTTTATGTAGTAACTGTGAGAAATTATTTTTTTCTCAAAAATTTGCCTGAGAAGTTGTATTGTGGCCCCTGTCGTATGAGCTGTTGTCTCATCTTGTTGTACTGAAACAGATTGATGTATTTAAAAATTCGTTGGATTGACGTCCGAGAGATCTAAACCTGTTGAGACCGCCTTCGAGTTGATATACTCGGATCGTCTTAGTTTCCCTTACTCGCTCAAATACGCTTTCGCTCCTGTGGTATGCCACCGTGAAAGGTCACTTACCGAACCTTTACTCTCAAAATTTGGAGAATCTCTCACACTATAATGGCAATAATATGCTCGAGTTTAAATTATTGAGGTTTGGTAGAAATATTTCCCTACTTGTGTTCATTTTCCAGTCGTGTATTTTTACAGCATTAATTTCCATAACCTTCGTTATAAAATATCTGAAAGAAAACTGAAAAAAAAGTTAACAAAAAAAAAAAAATTATTAAACTTTCAGACCCCTTGGTGACTTTTGGGACACCCTGTAGAACACAGTAATTCTCTTTTAGCATGCATTCATTTTTGTTTAAAGGGAACGTCTCCATTTGTCCATCTGACACAAGGACGTGGATCGGTTTCGACGGTCAATGCTATCTTCTTGTGAACGAAACGAAATCCTGGGTCGAAGCTCAAAATTATTGTCTCTCAATCGGTAGTACTTTGGCATCCATCAGTGACGAGCAACATCTTGAGTTTCTCATTAAGTCAATCAAACGTAAGTTTTATTCATCGACTTTTAACCATTTCTTTGGTTCAATCACAATGATTAACATGTTACCATAGTATGCTATGCATTTCTTTAGATGTTTATTGGTTTTAATTCGTTGAATTTCGTTGGATAAAATATGTATCAGACCGAATCATAAATAATTTCCGTTTTCGTTTATCAACTTTATTCTTCAAAAAAATAAATAAAATTGGAAGTGTTATTCAATTACATATTCATCATTATTTGAAATGACTTTTTGACCTTTATAAGACAGCACTTCGATACACTTTGAGTAAACTCCTTCAGTTTTTTTGAGTTTTTCGACGAACTCCGGAATCTGTGTTTTTTAGAGAAGGTTTTTCTCCATCAAAGTGTTTTGCAGCTATCGAAAGCGTTAATAATCGGTTGGTTCAAGGTCAGATGATTAATGACTGGCAGAGTAGAACATACCAACGGAATTCCAAAATCTTTCCCTGTTATTCTTGCTGGATGCAGTCTTGCGTTACCATGGAGAAGAGCAACATTTTTTTTTACTTTAATCCACTGTGCACGCTACCACTACCGTACAACAAAAACTAGGTATCTTATCCGCCACCCCGTTTTTTAAATGCTACTCATAATTAGTAGTTAGGATGATACATTCGTCATAAGAGGTGGTTCTGAAAAATGTAATTACTTATGACTAAGCACAACATAGACTAAGTACCTGGGCACTTCTACGGTGTTTACTCGTTCCCCCAGCAGGACGAGATGTGACACAAGGTCTTTTTAAAGTGGGGACCCGAGCGTGTGCACCCAGGCAAGGGACAAAAATTGCCCGCAGCCCCAGCAACCGTTGATTTCGCTGGCCTCGGTGCGAGCACCGCTCCCTCCCTCCCTCCGGTGCAATGGGAGGACGCGGCCTCGGGCAGCTGTCCACCAGGGCTGGGCACCTCTCAGTATAATTTTCTCAGTTGCTCCTCTGTCCTTTGACTGGGAATTTCTACGTGGTTGTAATGGTTAGTAAGCTTGTCTTGCTAGATCAATTACGACTGAGTAATGAGTTCGATCATCACTGGGTGCCCTATGCTTTCGGCCTTGTGCCACATCTAAGTTATGATAAGAAAATCATTAGAGCATTTCGACGTGGTTGTAATGTCTAGCAAGCTTGTCTCACTAGATCAATTATTACTGAATAGTGAGTTCGATCCTCAAAGGGTGACCCATATTTTTAGTCCTGTGTCACATGTAAGCTACGCTTAGGAAATCATTACGGCACCTCGATGCAGTGTAATGGCTAGCAATCATGTCTTGCTAGATCAATTACAACTGAATAGTGAGTTCAATCCTCATTGGGTGCTCCTTACTTTCGGCCTTGTACTACATGTAAACTACGTTTAGAAAACCATGCATATAATGGGCACCTCGACATATAATAGTTATCAAGTTTGTCTCGCTAGATCTATTACGACTAACTAGTGAGTTCGATCCCCATTGAGGGCTCCGTACATTTGGCCTTGTGCTACATCTAAATTACGCTCTGTAAATCGCTGTCAGACTAAATAGTGGGTATTTGAATAACAAAATGGAAAATAAACTTAGTAACGTGTTTTGCTCTGAGAATTAATTTCTTCTGATTAATAACGTCTTTTTTTCTTTTGATAGTCTTAAAAGGAGGGAAGGTCGGGAAGCAATACAACGAACGCTGGTTACAGTTTATATCGAAACGTTAAAGATATAGAAACTCTCAGGTTTAAAATTAAATGTCCGATGTATTTAGATGTTTAAATTAGTCTGTAGTGGTGTTGTAAGAATTGTTGGCTTGGGTCACCGTGAATATAATCAAGAAGGAAAGCTGTGTTCTTGTAAAACAACACCCCACATGAATGATGCACAACAAAAACGAGAGAAAAATAATCAAGCTCAGTGAACATTAATAAAATATTGTATTAACAATGATATACAAATATCAACAATAGTATAAAGAAAGTTGCTTCCCTTTTTCCGTAATAAAAAGTGTAAGTTTAGATAATTAATGTTGAGTACAATATTGAATGTTATTTAACTACAAAGTTCAATTGAGGTCTTAGCTGAATAAAGAATAATTCCACAATGTGTTACGAGTGTGGAAAAATATAATGTACACGAGTGATATCAATAGGAATTAGTACGATTACTCGAATGAGTAATAATTAAGAATTAAAATGTCACAAGAAATATGCGCCGTGCCGTATTTTCCAAGAATTGAACTGCTACTGGCTGTTGGTTAACAGCCAGAGGGGGTTTATATAAATACGCATAGGCTCCAGTGAGCTTGGCGCCAAAAATATCGAAAGATACTAAAATACGTGATTGGTCAGGAAATGGACCATTCCGTGATTTTAGAGAAAAATTCAAATGGCAAAATTGTCATATAATAAGTATCATATATTAATGAACCAATGACATTAAAGAAAGCGGAGGTGCGGCACATGTAAGTGATCACCACAAGTCTATCTCATTTAGTTCTTTATCGTTTTTATTTTAATTTTTATTGTCATTGATTTTATTAAAGACGAAAAATCTCATAAACAGTTAATAAGGAAAAGAATATTGGCAAAGTGGTATCTACCTGCAGAAAAGAAAAAGAAAAAAGTGGCGTATCAAACGGACGGTTTTTCTCTTGATAACTCTATTACTGTAGACTTACTCAGCATTTTTTATTGTTTTAAGAAGCTATTTTAAAAATTAATAAAACACAGGCATAAGAAACTGGGTTTCATTCTCGTTTTCTCGGGAAATGACAACAAATGTTTTAAACAAAATAAACAGTCTAATAACTAAATAGCGTTGACATTTTTGTTATCAATTATTGAACAAAAATGTATAAATTCAGATGCTCGAAAACTATTTTAGTGAATTTGTTTGGTGAGAGAAAATGAAAGAAGTGCGCGGGAAATTCATTTTTTTCTCAAAATGTATAATTACAGTTACTCGTTATGTGTTTACTTCAATTTCTTTGTTATCTTCTTCACAGACATGTTAATAAATTTATAAATAAAATGTCTTTATAATATAGTAAATATTTCATGTTTTTATAAACCTACTTACATTATTCGGACTGTTATCCGCATAGCCATATTCGCAACTTTTCGGCTGTTCTACGCTCCGGCCTTCTTCAGGAGACTGGAATTTCGAAGCGAGCCCTTTATTTCGTCCACCGAGGTAGATTGTTCCAGTTCCACGCCTCTTCTGGATGTCTTGGTTATTTCCCTTTGACTTAACTCTCCAAGTTTTGGTTCACCACTGCTGTGGCCTGATATTGAACTCACAACTCTTTGGGTCTAAACCAACACCTTTATCCACTGGGCCATGTAAACTTGTAAATATAAGATTATTCTTGTAAATAAAAAATCTAACAGGACTTAATACTTTTGTTGAGAATGTTTCATATGTTTGGTTCTTTTATCAAAATTCTAAAAATAGCTTTTCACAACAATAAGAATTACCGAAGGAGTTTACAGAGTGAGACAAAAGTCGCGAACCATAGGGATAATTTATTAAACGTATAATTACACATGAAAATTTGATTTACTGGTTATTGAATTGTTATGTGCTGTTCAAAATGTCCTGCTTTTTCGAAACGCATTTCAATTCTGTGCCTGCATGATTCATTAATACATCGGAGAATTTCCTCTGTCACTTTCATTAATATTTAATTCTTTAAATTCCTCAATTTTTCTTGGGCGCCTCTGACAGATTTCAAATTGCCCCACAGAAAAAAATCTATGGGTGTGAGGTCTGGTAATCTCGGTGGTTACTCAACAGGACCTATCAAAACAAATTAGACATTCAAAATAGGGTTAATTAACTCCGACTCTGCGCGACTTTTGCCTATCCCTATATCGTATACGAAACATATGTGTCAAAAGTAAAATCGTCCTTTTGACACAACATTTTTTGTAGGAATGTATGTTAAACTTCACCGGAATATTTTCTTTATGACATATCAAATGGATTTTGGGGTCCTACAAGAGATTTAGTCAACACATTTTACCTGCTTTTTCTCTCAACAAAAAATGCTTCAGACAGATTTTTCTCTTTTTTAGTGTAAGTTCCCAAATATTAAAACAAATTAAATCTGCAAAATGTGAGAAAATTGTTTTCGGAGGGTGGATATTTAAAAAACGTACTCAGTTCCTTTTGTAGGTTAAATTGATCATTACCCGCTCTTGATACCATATGCGGGAAACCAAATATCAGTTTTCGACGCAACTTTCCTTTTATTAACCAGAAAACCATGATCGAAACTTCTATTTTTACGTTTGCGGAGGGTAGGGGGCGCTGAATCCATTTTTGACACTGAAAATGTCCCCAGAATTTAAATGGGTTAAATGCAAAAATTAAGCTCTTTTCATCATTTTTGGCTCTTCATTGCGGAATAGGATTTCTAGATCGAAACCCTTATTTTTGAAAATTGTTTTCGGGAAGATATTTTAAAACGTACTCAGTTCCTTTCACAGGTTAAATTAAATACTCTTTACAAAACATTGGTGTCAAAAGTAAAAACCATTTTTTTGCAGCTATGTTTGTTAAACTTCGCCGAAATATTTTCTTTTATTTTTAATGTTTGCCCAATTCTAAATGTTTGGCATTTATTTAAAAATCTCGTAAATGATTGCTGTTTTTTTTTCCTTCTTTCTAAATCCTTTTAATCAAAAGAGATTTTCATTTTACTTGAGTTCATTCATAATTCATCGATTGATTTTCTTTTCGTCCAATTATTTCATTTCAGCTCGTTACTCGTTGACATATCATGCAACCGTTTGGCTTGGTGGATCCGATGACATATATGAAGGTTTCTATAGCTGGGTCGATGGTAACTTGTTATCAAAAAAACAATCTAAAGCCATTGGTACTGGCGAGCAATATCACTTGGCTTTGGTGAAACCAAGCTATCAACTCACAAAAACAAAAACAACTCTCGGTTATATCCTGTGCCAGATAACAAAAGGTAAAATTAATTCCAATCACCTTCATTACAGGTTCTGGTCCCCACTATCCGAAAATAAAACATTCCAATGAAATATTTGTAAGTCGAAATAGCGTAAAACAAACAAAAAACAATTACCGATAATTTATATTGGAAAATATTTTTGAATGTCCCCAGACGTCCCCCCAACCCATAATCTTCACATATTCGCTACGATTGTAATATTTGTAAAGGATTTGTATATGGATCATATTTGTAAGGATTGCAAAAAGTAGAATTTGGGTGGGTTTTCAGGATCTTTCTATAAAAAATTGTATAATAGAAAAACGTGTAAATCTTATTAATCAAACGTTCTGTCGCATTTCAAGCCCTCCACATCAACCACAGGAAACGACAGACCAAGACATTCGACAGCAACACAATGTGTTCACAAGTGGACATTTGAATTTGTTGGAACATTGCCCAGTGATATGTACTATATCTAATCTAAAAGTAGACAGTCTCAGGATGTCAGAACTGGTCTAACTTTGTCCTAACTCCAAGTATTTATCAAGTTATGATTGTTTGAAATTACTAAAAACTCGCACATGTTTAAACATTTATTTTTAGATGACCAGTTCTGGATAGTTGCTTTGCTGGATAGTTGCTACCCTTTTTTCCTGGAAAAGTCATAGGAATCTTGTTGAAATGAATTTTATAAATGGCAGACAGATTTAACTTGACACTCTTTTTCAAAAATGACTTATCAAATGGATTTTGGGGTTCTTCAACAAAATATTTAGTTACATTTACATATTTTACCACATTTTATCTGCCTTTTCTGTCTCTGACAGGCCCCAACTTCTAATAACGTTAACAAAAAGTGCTCGAGATAATTTTTTTCTCTTTTTTAGTGTAAGTTCGGAAATATTTAAAGTTAAATCTGCAAAATGTGAGAAAATTTTTTTCGGGGAGATATTTTAAAACGTATTCAGTTCCTTTTGTAGGTTAAATTGATCATTATCCGTTTTCGCGCCATCATTACGCGATTTTGGCACCAAATATCAGTTTTAGACGTAACTTTCCTTTATTTACCAGAAAACTATGATTGAGACTTCTATTCTTACCTTTGGGGGGGGGGGGCTGAATCCATTTCTGATACTGAAAATGTCCCCAAAGTTTAAATGGGTTAAATGACAAAATGAAGCCCTTTTCATTATTTTTGGTTCTTCACTGTAGACCAGGATTTCTTGATCGAAAGCCTTATTTTGGAAAACTAAAATGTGAAAGTTTTGTTTTAATCTTCTTAACTGCAAATAAAATTAATACAGTTCCATAACTGAACTGATAAAAACAAGAAAGAAAATCATTCAAAGAGCAAAAGCTCATAAATGTCGGCTTGACTCTATTGTGTCAGCCCTCTGTGGTTGAGGAACGTATACAAAGCAGGCTATGCTTTTAAATCTGAAAACGTTCAAAATTTTTTCCATATAAATTAAGGGTAATTGCTTCTTCGCATCACACCATTCCGGGTATATTTTTTTCGTAAAAGTGAAATGTGTTTCTTTGAACATTTGAAAAGCAAACTTTTGGAAAGAAGGATACATGTATTTATATAATTACAACTAAACTGATTTATATTAAACTTGCCACAGAAAGTAGTTTATGCTGTGTGTACGTAACGATAACCTAGTCTTGTAAAATCCCCCTACCACAGATGAAATATCGCAAGCATATTGATACTCTATTGCTATTTCAGTGGTAAATATTCAAATGAATTCCATTCTTTAGCTCCGCCAATTCAGACATTTACGACACGCCATGCTACATCCACAGAGCCTGATTATCTTCTTTTCCCCCGTATTCCAAATGTAAGTAGCAATGTCTGCGCAGACAGCTTCCCCCCCACCAAGAAATGCTATTTTGAGGAATATTAACTATCCTCCTTATCATCCTAATCTTCTCTTTCTCATATCACATCATTCGTCAAAACCATTTTAACTATAACCATCTATCCTGAGAGGTTATCGGGCTTTGTACTTTGTGACGTTTTTGTATATAAAAAAAATATATGTATAATTATGAGCGGCAATATTTTATTACTTTCTAAAAAGTAATTTCTAAAATTTAAAATTTTTGTCACTCCTCTAGAAACTGTGCTATGCTAGTAACTAGAAATATACCAATAGTCTTGCAACGTTGCGTATGTTAGAAAGGTTTGCTGGGTGGGGCTCCAACAGGACCCCGTAATCGTTATTCCTGCATTTCCCAGAGGTCTTAATGCGAACTGAACGTAAACATTATCAACCGAAATTCGAAATCGACTCGCCGATTCTGTTTTCTTTAACAGCCGCATCATTCCGCACCTCGATTGGTGTTATACTGCATATCTGAGTTAAATATTTTACTTTATCTATTTATTTGTTTATCTCTGAATTTATTTATCTTAAATTTGTTTCTGATTTTGCAGACTATCGAGGTTGTTTTCAGACACCAGCCAGTTCATCTCCAAACATTACAATTCTGGTGACAACGGAGAATTTGGTCAGTGTAAATTTGTGTAAACAGTTATGTCTGGGAAGGAATTTCAATTATTCCTTAACAAATCAAAAGTCATGTGCCTGCATGAATAACCACACTTCATTGACCTTAGTCGATGATAAAAAATGTCAAAATCCTTGTCCTTCTCAAAAGCTTCTCTTGTGTGGGTCGCAAGACACATGGGCGTTGCATCTACTGGGTAAGCACCACAGTAAGATAACTTAACTTACATTTATAAGTTTTTCTTGGGGCATCCAGATTGTTTCAATTGGGAATAAATGTATATCAAAGAAAATGAAATAATAGCTATATTTTATGTATTGCTTTTTATTCTTTTTTTTGTTGCAAACATAGACGAATGTGCCAACAATAAGACGGAGTGTCAAATGTTAAATTGTTTTTAAAAGCAATGATTAGAATTATAAGAAAGCCTAATCATATGAAAGTGACTTTATACATTTTCTTTGTTATTTACAGCAAAATCGGATTGAGGAATCGGAGAGTCGAATTCCAGTCAAATCCATTACATTCACTTAAGTGATAATACCATTGGGAAAGGAATTAATCCTCTTCTCCCCCAGCTATGGGTAAATAGAGGGACAGACCGGCTTCTATAGCCTTGAAGGGCAACTGGTCTACCGCAGAAAGAAATGGCAACCTACTGCGGGAAAAAATCTGACTTGCACACGCAGGGCACATAACTGACTGACTGATTTTTTTATTAGATTGTTTACACTATTTATTATATTATTTATTCGAATGGTTGTTAAACGTCAGTTAAATGCCAAATGATTCAAACTTTATACAATGTTAAATAATAAGGATTTCTTTATATTTGGTTCACATATTGTAATAATTTAATAATTTTCACATTTATTTATAAATTGGTAATTGATAAATATTGCATTGCATTAGATTTTAGAATGTTGTAAATATAAAATTATTTTTGTAAATAGGCAATCTAATAAATAAATAAATAGTGTTTAATGTTTTCATCATAAATTCTTAAGAACAAAAAATGTATAAATTCACTTTCATCATATGTGTAGGTTTTATTAAAATTCTAATCATCATTTTTTTAAAACAATAAACATTGACCAAGAATGAAGGAAGTTAAAAAAAAGCGGTGTCATGCAGAAAACCGTCCTTCTGAAATTACATCTTATTGCGGGCATGTTTGTCCATATTTGCCTTTTTTTTACTATATATAGCAGACTTAGATTCAATATAATCGCTCTACTTCATTTTAGTTGAAAACTTGAGGTCAAGAAGATTCAACGAGTTGCCCTCCTGGAGGTTACTATCAGTTATAATGATGGAGGACAAAATGGTTCTCTATGATGATTAAAGGATAGAAGTAAATGGCATTGTAGCGATGAGACTTGTAAAATTTGTGTCACGTTTGAATATTTTACGTTTTGCACATTACTGAAGTTATGCTTCCTTTTTCGTAGACAGCTCCAGATTGGCTACTCATTGTTCCCAGTTAGCTATCAATGGAATATTCTTAAATGCGACATACAAACTCTGGAATTCGACAAAAGGTTCAAGCGAATTCAAACAATGTGGACAAGCAGGTAAACATTTATTTCATATTTTTGTTGATATAACAATGGATTCAAACTTTCAAACCCGAAAATTATCACTGAGAAAGAGAAGAGAAGGAAGGAGATAATATTTTGGTAATTCTAAAGGACAGTAGTTATAAAAAAAACATAGTACTGCATAGTAGGGCATAGTATGTCATAGTAGGGCATAGTACTGCATAGTAGGTCATAGTACTGAGAACTGTGAGAAAGAAAGACATTTTAAATAGCTGAAACAAAATTTTTCTTTCTTTCTTTGATTGGATACCCTCACGATATGGATGCCCGGTGCCGTCGCACCCTCTCCCTCCTTCTGCATGCTACTGCGTCCATATAATTTTTCTGTGTGAAAAGATTAACCTCTCGCATGCAGGTGCGGTATTTATTTTCAAGCACATAAGATTCGTAGATTAGGCGTGTTAAAATGTTTTCCTTTTTCATCTTTTTTGTTCAGTATAGAGGTTTTTTTTCAGTTCTTATTATTTTAAGTTTATTGACTTGAAACTTACAACATTCTACGATTTTCAGTCAGACGGTGAAATTCAACAATATACTTATAGCTAATGATGCAATTTCACTTTCTAACAATTTGTGCAAATCCTCTTTCTATCTGATGCCGCTATTCCATTTTTCTTAACATTCTCTTTGGATTGAACCCTCGTAAAACCATTAAGTTTTTTGTCAACACCGAAAATGTCCTTTCAATGCTCATTTATCTGAATGATTTACCGAAACGATGTGTAAATGAAGGGATAAATTTGTAAGTCTTTGGCGCGGCCAATAAAGTAAACGTTATTAAACAATGACATACCTGTAATATCTTGCCAGAATAAGCTAATTATATATATATATATATATATATATATATATATATATATATATATATATATATACGTACCTCCACCGATTCTCTAAAACGTGATGAAAAAATACCCAAACTTAATAAAAACAAAGTTTTATCGTCAAAATCTTTGTTATTATTAACAAGAAAGATCAAAGCATTTCTTAATATTTAAATTATTTAATTAATTTTTTTTTAGAACGTTCGAAAGTTTTGTTAAAAATCTGTTTTTTCTTGCGTTAGCGGGGCTGCAAAGATTAGTATAATGCATTTAAGTGTCTTCTTTTTGTGTTGAAAAACATTGATTTGGAAATTCTTGCAAAAATCAAGTAATTATTTGATATTAATGAAACTTTCAGAAATTATTCATAAATGAATGAAACATTTCTAAAAAGAAATGTTTATTTTGAAAAAATATTGGTAAATATATATTTTTTTTTAATTTCTTATACTCCACTTTTATGAAATCTCGAGAAATTAATTTTTGTACATCTTAATATATAGTTAAAAGCAGAAATCATTGGACAATTGAAATATATATACGGATTCCGTATCAGATATTCAGATTAAATAACAAATATCTGTATTAAGTATCAAATATCCAGATAAATATCAACTATCCGGACTGAGTATCAGATATCCAGATAAATATCAGTTATCCGGATTGAGTATCAGATATCCAGATAACTATCAAATATCCGGATTGAGTATCAGATATCCAGATAAATATCAAATATCCGGACTGAGTATCAAATATCAATATCAAATATCCGGAAAAAATATATCAGGCATTATCATTTAAAAATTTAATGACATAGTTATATTAAATTGACTAAAATACATCAGTTTTTCGTAGTGAAGTCGAATAAGTTAAGCTAATATTTTGGGAGGACACATCGTTTATGCGGTTTTGTGGGTGAAAACTTATTCCCCACTCTGCAAGCTCTTCCCTACAGATGCTATCCTATCACTGTTTCCATGACAAATGAGCTCAATTCTTTAGTTCCACTAGTTGAGACATTAACAGCTCTGATATGTCATAATACTTCCAAAGAGTCGAATCACCATCCTTTCCTAAGTATTCCATGTATAAGAAAATTTTTTTCACTCAGCTTCTTTCTCAAGAACGCCTAATTGCTGAAAGAAGCTCCCGCATGTATAGTTCTTAGAACACTAAAATTTTAACCTTTTCAATAGCCAATCATTATCTATCCTCCTTATCCTCATAACCTTCACTTCATATCGTCTCCTTTTTCATTCACATCACACTTCATTCGTCATATTTTATCGATAGCCTCTACTTTGAGTGGCTCTCGAGCTTTGTTTATTCAACTTTATAGTGAGTTGATCCTAAGAGAAGGCATTATTATTAGTGGACACAATCTTTACAAAGATGACACCCTGTTGATAGTAAACATAGAAATAAATCTGAATGAATTCCTGCACAAACTTGTAAAGAAAGCAAGAAGAAAGGACTAACCATCACTTGGAAGAAGACAGAATGTATGATGGTCAGGAAGAAAGTCTGCCCAAGATGCGAGCTTCAAAATTTAAATATCTGGGAAGTGTTTTAACAGACGACGAGAAATGTGACACAGAAATCCGAAGAAGCATTGGAATAGCAAAAGATGCATTCTAGAAACTAAGCGAAATATTAAGAAGCAGGAAAATTACCGTGAACATGGGTACACTAAAATAAAATACAAAGAAGAAGAGCAACAAACTTTTCAGACAGTTATGCGCTCATGTATCTTTCGATACATGACTGATGAGGCAGATTTTTCCCCGCAGTTGATATCCAAGATCTGTCTTGCTATTTAGCCATAGCTGGGGAGAAGAATAGGATTCATATCTTTCCCAAGGGTATTAGCACGTAAGTGAATGTACTTGATTCGACTGGAATTCGAACTTGGCTCTCCGATTTCTCAGTCCGAACCGCTATCCATTACTCCACCGTTCTTCCTTAAACATGGTTACACTAAAAAGTTTATCGTAATAAGAAATAATGTGGAATAACAAAAAACATTTAAAAATAAGCATGTATGTATTCAGAGGTCGTAGTCGCCTGTATAAATGGTTGAATGAAGTATGTATATATATATCTATGCAGAACTGTGTGGGTCACGCATATGTGTAGTATTTCGGCTAGAAATTATCGCTTAATTTCTGAAATGTCCACGAGCCGTGACGTCAGATCTTGGTTGGGAGCGTTTCTGATTAGTGCGCCAGACTATTCTCTCATGTCCTTGAGGGAATCGTTTCTGATTCGTTCGTAGAAATATGACTTCATAGCCTAGCGATTCCGAATTTTTATCTCTAAAAAGAGATGTTGAAATTTGTTATTTTTGCTATCACTACACCTTCGTTGTTTGTATGTCGAGATGTGATGTTTTTCTTGTATTAGGCCATTATCTTATAATGACCACATAGAGCTTTTCTTTTGGAGGAACATCCAGTCAGATGACTGCTTTTCAAACTACATATTTACATTATCTTTGGTTTTTTATTCTCTATGATTTTTATTGCGAAATACTGCTTCAAATTTTAATAGCAGATTTTCACACGAATTTACTCTTCATTCAGCACAATGTTTAAACATAAATGAATATTTTTGTCATTATTTTGTTAGACAACAGCAGTTGTCCAATTGGATGGGTTGGAAAAGACGGCGTTTGTTACGACTTTTCTACTAAGAAAACCAAACTTTCAGAAGCAAGGAACATATGCTTTTCAAAATCGGCCATTTTAAGTTTTCCCGTCAACGCAGTGGCTAGAAAATTCATTGTGGACATGGTGAATGCAGTTCCCACAATTTGGCCTTTAGGAAAATTCTTTGTCGGCGTGCAAACTTTCAATCGCGGGTCATATGTTGCTGCGACAGGCAAGATCATTAAATCTGACAATGATATACCAACGTCTTTCAACCAATTGACATTAACGTGGAGCAACACTTATTCAACGCCAAGCAGCACAAGTTTGGAGTATTTCATCTGTGAGAAGTTTTCTGGTAAGTCTTGTTGAAATTTATAGAACTTAATTGGAAGAAATTATAATTTATATAGATACATATATCGGGTGTATTTGGGAATCAATTGTTCAATTATGTACGTTTGATTGTTGCTAATTTTCTTTTATTTACTTTTTCAATGTTTCTAATAATTTTCTGATTTCCGACTAAAAATATATGTTCACATGTCTAAGCACTTTCGGCAATTACTAACCATTTTCAAAGACCTTTCTGTTGTTTATGTCGCCAGTTTAATATTTAAAATATTGCGATAAAAGCCAACAGACGAAACGTGATATTCTTGTTTATCCTAATGGCATTAGTGTGAAGTGAACAGAACAGTCTAGATCTGAATTTTAACTCGGCTCACATGTTTCACGTTTTATGATTGTGATAAATTCTAAAATTGCCATTTTGAAGTTTTGGTTAAAAAAAAACAAAAACAAACTTGACGCAGGAAAACATATCCATTTTCCTAGAAAGCGAAAATATATAGAAAGTATGTGAAGAGCTAGGTCGCTATCTTGAAGAATTGAGGGTTACTAATGAAATTCCCTAAGAAGGTCACCGGACATGATCGTTAAAAGAATGACAAAATGTTAATAATACTAGATTGGTTCACTTATCATCTGGCTCGTACTCCTTCCATGTTTATTAAACAGGAGTAAATGTTCATCCCTTGTTTCCAGTTCCTTCCTTCCATGGCCTTAATAGTTTTGTCTTAACTTTTTGATAATCTGACTGATCAGTGCCTATGACTTTTCATTTTGAGGATACTGAGTTGGCAGATTTCTGATTGCTGCATCCTGACTGATAGTCAGATGTCTTCTTTTCTCGTCTCGATGTCTCTTTTGATGACACAGTTATTTATTTTGTCTTAATGGTAAGTTGGTTGGTTGATGTTGTTTAGCGGCATATCAACCTCTGTGGGCTATTTAATGCCGAAATATAAATATTTTGCATGTAATTTTTACGCTTTCAACTACAGATATTTTGTATGTACTTATATACTTTCAAGGTAGAGGTATGTTTTTTTTAGATTTATAGCTTGTAGATCATAAAATGTTAATTTTTCTATAAAAATGTATTTTTTTTTAGCCTTGCATTGATTCTCATTTTGCTATAAAATGTATTGTTTCTCATTTTATTATAAAAAATGCAGTTGATTTTTGTTTGGAAATTCAATATTTGCCCATAGCTTGGACCCTAACAGGTACTATCACTCTGAGTTAGGGTGGACCTGCGAACAACAGCAGTTAAGAGGTAATGAAAACCTCCAAAACCTCCAAACTCCCGATCAGATGCCTTGTTGCTGGATGTAGCTTATTGTCATACCAGGACGATTAATGCTAAATCTGATAGGTTCGATAAATTCAAATTGGCAGCTGATCTCGAAAGTGACCTCCAATCAGTTGTTAACTGGGGCAAGAAATGTCTTTTTAATTTCATCGCCTCCCAAAATAAAGTTTTCTCTTTTAATCGTTTGAGACAGCCTTTTTGCTTTCCATCAGCGTAGCTGATGCTAACCATCAGGTTGGTAACTCATCATACCTCCTCGGTCTAACGTTTTCCAGTGATATGAATTGGAACGATTATATCAAATCAATTGCTAAACCTGCTGCTAGCTAGGAAGGTTGGTTCGCTGTATCGTGTTAAACAGTTTTTCTCGCCAGAATCTATATCGCAGTTTTATAAGTTTACGATTCGCCCGTGCATTGAACGTTTTTGCCACATCTGGTTTGGTACTTTTACTATGTATGTTTCACAAAATCCAAAGCAGAATCTGCCATGTTATTGTCCTGGTATTTACTTTCCTATCGCTAAAATACCGCTTCTCTATGCCTTTTCTATAATTAATTTCATACCCATTGTTCTGTTGACCTTTCCTCTTTGGTACTCCGATTTTACGAATTTAAGCGCAGTACTAGATTGGCAGCTAGGTCTCATAATTTCACTGTTGGAATTCATAGATGTAACCGTGCGTTCACTTCTAATAGTTTCTTCTCTCGCACTTCTCGGCTTTGGCACTCTCTCCCAGCATCTTTCTTTCCTGTCCATTACGATCTTCCAAATTTTATATGCAACATCAATCATCATCATCTGTCTTCTTAATTCCTGTTTTTTATTAGCCTTTCTACTCAGTAACGTTTTCTCAGTTTCTTTCATTCTCAGTGTCTTAGTGGCCTTATCACCTTGCTTGGGGCGAAATGACTAATATATTATGGCTATGATAATTTGACTTTTTGTAAAATAATTGATTTCCTGTATCATAATTCGATGAACTTTCGTAAAAAAATAATGAAGAAGGGTTTAATTCTGTTTATTTTTTTAAAAAGTGGTCACACCCAACACGAAATTTCTAAAATCATATATCAGTATGATAGTATTATGATTTCTGGACCCTTCTAGAACTTCTTAGAGCCTTCAATATGTTTTTTTTTATTTTTAAGATTTGCATATTATGCATTTAGCTATAACACGGACGACCCGGTTCGATCCGTGGTCCTTCCCAAGTTGGTCAGTACTAGCGCCGGTAAATTGATGGTTATCTGTTGACCTCTGCCCACGTTGTGTTCTTTGATCACAGAGCAGTGAAGATCGAATGTTCGTCCGTACTTAAGCACTGAATCGAGATGACGAAACCGTCCTATGAAAAAGGACAAGATGCTTCCACCGGTGAAAATACAAATATCTCGACAAATAACGACGAAGGTCGCTGGGTTAATTTTCAGTTGGTTTATATAATCGTCGACACAACAAAGCCAACCCTTCTCGTCAAACTCTCTATTGTGACACTATATCTCTTGCTTTTAAAACTTACAATGGGCTAAACATTCGCACAAAACATTCATCGTGAAATCTGTGTCAAGGTAATTCTCTTGCCATCAGGCCACGTGTCTTCTTCCGGCCTCTCCCGGTCACCTTCGGGCGCCATCTACTGGACTCTCATGGCTTCTGGTTGCTTCTCGCTCCAACTGCTACTGCTGGCTTCAATTAAGCATTCAGTTTATATGCATCTCGCCCGACTCTTACCGCCTCTCAAAACTCATTATGTATTCATCAATTACTTATTTTCTCCACCCCGGAGACATGATATTGACCCTCAAACAAAGTGATCAGTTATTCCAAAACAAACTTTATTCCCACATTCCTTGACAATCGGCCGTTTTATCAAAACAATAATTTTTCCGTCCACAAACTTATGTATTTAAAAAATAAAGAATTCTCTTTGTCGAATTCTCAATACGACCCAAATAATTTCCTGCCGAGTTGCATGTTTACAAAACTCGACTTTGTGAATTTTTTTGGATTTACCCAAATATGCTCGTTAATGACTTTCAAATATCAAAACAGTCAACTATTTAAAAGAATGATCTTTCCCAATAATTAACTTTCTGTGTCTTTGAAATTTATTTCAAACGGCAAGAATTTTCCCTCATTCTTCCGGACAACTTTGAGACTGTTTTACATTCCGGCTTCGAGAACTCATAACAATTCTTATTTGCTTTTTCAGCTTATATTCTAAACATTCCAATTCAACATGGACTCAACAATCCATTTGTTGTTTCTGTTTATTAAAAGGAAAAAAATCATATCACTTTTTTTTCCTTCGATTCATATTTCAATTTATGTTTTAACCTTATCGTTTTTAACGTTTTCAACCCTAGCAATTCTCCAATTCTATGCGGTGTTTTCACTTGAACCCTTTTAATCCTAATTCCATACTACCAGTGTCACAACAGTGTCACATTCCTTTCCACTATCCCCAGTGACACTTTATAGTGCCACAGAGCTAATTGTTAAATGCGTTAAAAAACATAGTATCCGATTATATCATTAGCAAATTGAAAAGGAAAGCTTCTGAAAGATTTTTATTTCTTACCCTTATTGCGTATATAGCAAAATCAAATTTTCGGTTTGGGATTGACCTCTTTCAAGACCTAACACAAATTAATGCCTTTTTCATTACTTTTAAACAAGAGTTAATCGATTTATAACACAGGAACATCACAGGTTTAGGTTTATATATATATATATATATATATATATATATATATATATATATATATATACACCCCGAAAAAATTAAGATTCGGTCGAGAACTTTAGAAGAAAAAAGCGTGAATTTGTAAACAGTGACTGCTACCGCTGGTGCAAAAGCTCTGAGTTACTGGCGTGTTTATTCTAAAATAAATACATAAAAATTCACCTTCCTTTCTGCCGCGATCTGATAGCTCAGGGGAAAATCTCCGACTAATGCCAAATCGGTTGGGTTTCGATCCTGGCTTGAGGCAATCGGATGTCTAGCCACACTGATCAACTGTGATACAGCGAAACAGTCTGTCTTTGGATCACACACACAACACACGCACGCACGCATATATATATATATATATATATATATATATATATATAAAACCCGAGTTTTGCGCTGGTATGAGCCTGAAACTCGAGTTACGACTAGGACCATCCTTTCATTACAAAAGAGCAAGTTTATATATGTATTCTTTTTTTCTGCAAAAAGAGACGTTGGGAAGTTTAATCTGGAAACATTCTAATTGGAACCAAATCATGCTCCTTGAAAAAAAAATTGCTTGTTAATTTCTGGATCGTATCTTTGGCCGTAAAATAAATTTCTATTTCTATTAAATACGACCCATTTCCTCGTTTCATATAAGCAAATGAATAATTGATTGTTGTATTAGTTTTTGTCAGTCTTCATTATCGACTTTGTCAATATTTGGGAGCAAAGAAGCTTTCTTTGGTGTCATTAATTTATGCGGATATATGTCAGTCAGTTATGTGTGATGCATGACTGACGAGGCAGATTTTTTTTCCCGGAGTAGGTTGCCATTTCTTTCTGCCGTAGACCAGTTGACATCCAAGGCTATAGAACCCGGTCTGTCCTGCTATCTACATATAGCTGGGGAGGAGAGAAGAAGAGGATTCATACCTTTCCCAAAGGTATTAGCACGTAAGTGAATGTAATGGATTCGACTGGAATTCGAACTCGGCTCTCCGATTCCTCAATCCGAGCCGCTATGAGAGAAAGGGAACGCCATAAACATAGGGCTTCATAATTCGTATCTGCGTGTTTCCTTCTCCCAGTGGTTGATAATGTGAATGACATTATGTGTGTGTGTGGGGGGGGGCGAGTTTGCGTTGTGCTCATGACAGAACAGCAAGGTTATCTATGTGTCCTTTTTTCCGCAAAAAGAGACGTTGGGAAATTTAACTAATCTGGAAACACTGTAATTGGGAGCAAATCATGCTCCTTGAAAAGAAAAAAAGAAAAAAAGAAAAAAAGAAAAAAAAAAGAAGACATTGCTTGTTAGTTTCTGAATCGTATCTTTAGCCGGAAAATAAATTTCTACTAAATACAAACCATCTCCTCGCTTCATATAACTACCTTAGTAGTCGACGACGGCAGATCACGTGACCAGATTCCAGTAGACGGAAAATATTAATATTACTTCGACCGGAACGGATACCAAGTTAACCGCGAAGTATTGGACACAAACTACACGTGCTTAATGACCATGATCATAATGCAATAAAAGCCGAAACGAAGAGTTAAAGTAATGGTTGTTGAACTAATGGAATTCATGATAATCTATCCGGGTGGATACGATATTGATCGATAAATAAATGGTAACTGCTAGAGAGTGGTTCATCTGCCCGTGACGATGCAGTTACGGCTTTTAGGTCCAAGAAGTGGGACAAAATACATAATGGGATTTGGTCAGCCATAAAATCATTCCATTTATTTATGTATTATACATCAATAGGACACAAGGCTGAAAAGGAGGGGACGTGAGGCAGATCTTAATATTTTATTCTACACTTAACAAGTTCCTCTCACAATGCAATTACATTATATTTGCCTTTCACCTTTAAAACTTATTCTTTCCTTTCATATATCTAATACTGTATTTACTCTATTGGACCCACACTAAAAGCCCATATATATATATATATATATATATATATATATATATATATATATATATATATATATATAATTTCTATGTACAGTTATATAAGATATAAACAGATAACAAATAAAAGTGGGCTGATGAGTTGATTTTGTTTAACAACATATCAACCTTTATGGGTTATTTAATGCTGAAATCAAAATATTTTGAACACAATTTTATGGCTTCATCTAAATATATTTTGAACGCAATTGTATGCTTTCAGTTACAGATAAAATGTATTGTTGGTCATTTTGCTATAAAATGTATTGTTGGTCATTTTGCTATAAAATGTATTGTTGGTCATTTTGCTATATGTATTGTTGGTTGGTTAATTTTGTTTAGCGGCATATCAACCTCTATGGCATATTTAATACCGAAATCTAAATATTTTGTACGTATTTTTATGCTTTCAACTACACAGATATTTTGTATATACCTTTTACTCTGAAAGTATACAATTATATTTTTTAGATATATATTTTGTAGATCATAAAATTTATTATTGGTGATTTTACTATAAAAATGGATATGTATATACGTATATTATGAAATGGACTAAGTCCAACAATTATTTTCATATATCTTATGAAACTATTATTTTCATATATTTTATGAAACTGTTTATACGTTATTTTTATAGACACAAATATTTAATTAAATGCTCTGTTTATAATAAATACATTTACCGGCCGAGAAAAATTGTAGAAAATATGTGTCATCCGACAGGAATTGAACCTGTATCCTACATTGTAATATTGCTATAAAAAATGTATTTTATTATAAAAAATGTACTGTTGATTTTTGTTTGGAGGGTTCACCATTTGTTCATAGCTGGGGACTCTAACATGTGCTGCTATTCCGAGCCAGGTTGGACCTGGGAATAACAACAGTTAAGTGGTGGTTCCATGCTCCTCAAAATCTCTTATCTCCCGATAAGAGGCCTTGTTGCCAAATGTAGTTTATCGTCATACCAAGGAGGAATGAAAGTGGGGGAGGAATAAAAACATCTAACTGCCGCTTCTTTCAATTTCTGACTCATCATCAGTGCTCCGAGTAACTTATCTGGATTTTATCCCACCAAAGAGTAATGTGTGCCTTTCTCTTTTCCTGTCACGATTTTTTAAGAAAAAATTTTTTTCTTGCACCTGACAAAGGCTGAAGAATGGATCGACTGAAACAAGATGGTAACAATATTAAGAACACAAAAAATAATTTGCCGGAAGAATTTTGGATTTCTAAGGATTCCGATCAAAGTTATAGAGGTTAATATTGTCACTCTAACGTGCACGGAATAACAGTAAGTAAATGCAATTATAGGTGGCGCTATCGTATCTTGACGTTATGGAAATACCCAGACCAATATCAGTTTTGCTCTGATAGCCGGTGAGTCAGTGTTAAAGCATTGAGCAGGATTTATCAGCGATGGAACTGGACATGATGGCAAGCACTAGACTCATGGCAAATTCGTTCCATTTTTGAAACTGCGTGGACATTTAACATATTTAAAACTGCCGTGTTATATGCGTGCCAGTAATTATTTTTCATTAGGTAATACCTGTTGAAAAGCATTACTACTCGTCCTGGACAACTCACCAGTCCTCAATGGTCGTAACCAACGATTTACAAGCAACACTGGTTCAAATCACATCCGCATTCAATGCAGAAAATGCAAGACTTCCATCCATAAGAAGAGTTCAGGTTTTTAAGACACAGCAAGGCGCCTCGCTTAACACTACGACACCAAACACAGCGCCTAACTTGAGATCATGACGTCATTTATTGAACCCTAGAAAACTAGTAACAACACGTGGTATGGTCCAATAAGTTAAGGTTCCAGCTGTAGTGGTTCCATAATCTTGTGAGGTGTGTTCATGTGTTATGGGGTTTGCTCCGCTGATACGCCTAATCCAGTCATTTGCATATGACAGCTACGTTGCATTGCTTCGTGACTGTCTGCACCAATACATGGACTCTATTGTAGACCAAAAAGATTCCATATTCCAGCAGAATAATGCGCAGTGTCATCAGTTGCCCAAGTTACCCCGAATTGGTTTGAGGAGCATTCTAGAGATTTAGGATGGATTTAAATTCTCATTCACCTAGCATGAACCCAATCAACATAAGACGTATGAAGAGTTGGCACGCAAAATTCCTGTACTTACAAATATCGGGGGAACTGTAAAATATTATCGAGACGGTATGGCTCGACATCTCTCCAGACGTGTTTCAACCACTTGTGTAATCAATGCTACGTCGAGTTGTTGCATTTCGCTGCCGTAGACGGTGTTCTATCCAATACTAGGTATATATATTCTATGGCTTTTGCCACGCCAGGGTATATGAAATTGACTATTATTGCTCTTTACAATTATAAAAAGGCAAAGGCTATAGAAAGTGTAATATAATTTCTTATATTCAATACAGTTTAGTAATTATTATTATTATTGCTGTTGTTCCTTCGTTACTGCTGATTATACCAGGCGAGGTGCCGTTAGCTTGGGTGTGCGGATGGTATAATAGATAACAGCTCGGAATTAGAAATCGGAGAGCCGAATTCTAATTCCAGTCGTGGTTGTTATATTCACTTACGCGCAAATAGGAACCGTATGACCCCCCCCCGCTCCAATTATGGGTTAACTAGCATGACATATCAGTGAATTATTATTATCTTCCGCCCCACAAATTCTTACAATGTAAAAATATTTTTGCCCTTAAATAATCGGCAAAAGGTTGATAAGCCGTAAAAAAAAATCACGCAATGAAAACGTTAGTTAGCGCGTAAGTTACGTAAGTTATACCAATATCTAAGAAATAATGGTCAATTCTGTTTTGATCACGATAACAGACGGAAAAGACATATCAAATAGGCTGTTCGATTTCCCGTGAAAGAAAGAAAAGGAGAGCAGATTGAGAAGGTGATAACGCCCTCATATTTTTAACGTCTGCTTCAATGAAATAGAAAACTTGCCAATTTCAAATCATTCCATTTGTACCCTCTAAAATTCTTTAAATAATAACCTGCATTCGCATTTATTGTTATTGCAAAATTTGGTTACAGTTGATAAGCTTTTAACTATGCAATCGGGTAATTTCCACTGGTATTTTGTAGTCTAACTTGTAGTGTAATTTACAGTAAGCTTATTTATTAATTAACTATTATGATAAATGATAAATTTAAATTAGAAAAACCGGATACTGTTAGTTATTATTATTATTTTGCCAAGTAATCTTGTTCTAATCTGGACTGTTTATTTATTTCTTTAGGTTACAAAGGTTGTGCGTCATTATCGAATCAGCAACAATCTGTCAGCCTCACCACTCTAGCAATGACGGCTACCCAATGTTTAGAATTCTGCCGCGGTCAAGAATTCTCACTAGCTGCTGTCAATACCACTTCTTGTTTTTGTCTCAAAGCAGACGAAGTTTTAAGTTGGCAACCTAAGTCATCTATCGACTGGTGCTTCCAATCCTGTCCAGGTTTTGATAATCAACCCTGTGGAGGCAAAAATGTATTCTCCGTGTATGAGGCAGGTGAGTACCACACATCTACCCACAAACCTACACGCACACCTGTAAGATGCATAATAAAAATGGCAGTGCTTCAATTAGATAAATCGTGTATTTTAAGGATATGTGAAAAGATACATTACAAATACGTGAACTCTCTCTCTCTCTGTCTCTCTCTCTGTCTCTCTCTCTGTCTCTCTCTCTCTGTCTCACGCGCCCGCGGTTTACGGCCATATTATATTGAAACACCGGCTCCCGTTCGATCACCGAAGTTAAGTAACGTCGAGCCTGGTCAGTACTAAAATGGGTCACCACTTGCGAATACTAGGTGCTATAACGGATAATGACTGCAACTGGAAATTGGAGAGTCAATTCTAATCGAATTCGTTATATTCACTTATGTGCGCTTACCCCTGGGAAAGGTACAAATGTAACTCTTGTCCCCATCTATTTGTTAATTAGCAGGACTTGCATGAGTAAATCATTATCTCCAAAATTTCTTACAATCCAAAAATATCTTTAGGCTTTAAGTAACCTGCAAA